AATTTATTTGAGATATGGTGTACCGAAAGTTGTCCATTCTCAACCAAGTCACGAACAAAGAAGAAATCAAGTGCAACATGCTTCATACGAGAGTGGAATACAGGATTAACACAAACATACGTTGCTCCTTGATTGTCACATAGCAACTGCGGTGAGTGTGGCAGATTTATGCCTAAGTCAGAAAGTAAATTTCGAATCCAAAGTACTTCAGTACTAGCATGCGCCACAGCCCTATATTCAGCCTCTGTAGATGAACGAGACACCGATTTTTGTTTGGCAGATTTCCATGAAATAATATTGGTACCAAGATATAAAACATAACCGGTAGTAGATTTCCCCCCATCAAGGATGCCACCCCAGTCCGAGTCGGAGAATGCCGTGAGTGTAAGTGGCGAGGAGTTCTTCAGGAAAAGACCATGATTCAAAGTGCCTTTGAGATACCTTAAGACCCGCTTGACTCCCTGCCAGTGGACATCCATAGGTGCATGCATAAATTGAGATAGGCGGTTGACGGCGAACGAGATATCTGGCCGGGTGAATGCTAAGTATTGAAGGAGACCAAGAGCTCGCCTATATTGTGTAGGATCCGTAGGTATCCTACCATTAGTAAGTTGAGGGGCTGAACTGGAACTCATAGGCGTGACTGCTTCCTTGGCGCCATCCATGTGACACTCCTCAAGAATATGACAAATATATTGGCGTTGAGTGAGGAACATTCCGGCGGGATGTGGAATAATTTCAACACCAAGGAAATGATGTAAAAGTCCAAGATCTTTAATGGAGAACCTGCACGTGAGTTTTTGAATAAAGCATTCCAGAGCAGCGGAATGGTTTCCGGTAACCACTAGGTCATCAACATAGACAAGCAAGTAAAGTAGAACATTATTATGAGAAAATATGAACAATGAAGCATCTGCCTTAGACCTCCGAAAACCTACAGAAATAAGAAAACGTGAAAATTCAAGATACCACGCACGTGGTGCTTGTTTAAGTCCATATAATGCTTTTTGAAGGCGACACACATGCATGGGGTGAGATGGGTCCTTAAACCCGGGTGGCTGGAGCATATAGACTTCCTCCGAGAGAGAGCCGTGAAGAAAAGCATTATTTACGTCTAATTGACGTAGAGGCCATTGACGAGATAAAGCTATAGACAGGACAACCCGAATGGTAGCAGGTTTAGTAACCGGACTAAATGTTTCTGCATAGTCACGTCCAGGTTGTTGAAGAAATCCTCGAGCTACTAGTCGTGCCTTGAATCGGGCAATACTACCATCTGCATGCCTTTTGATACGAAAAAGCCATTTACAAGTGATTGGGTTATGATCTGCACGAGGAACCAGAGTCCATGTATTGTTCCTTTTTAGTGCTTCCATTTCTTCCTCCATAGCGCGACACCACCTAGGATCCGATAATGCAGCTTTCACACTCACTGATTCTAAGGTGGGTGAGATGGGGTGAGTTGTGGTTTGATTCACAAATGGGCTCCCAAAGTATTTGGGGTTTGGGTGTCGGTTGCGAGTGGGACGTGGATTAGGTGGTGGAGTATGAGGCTGAGAGGATTGGGACATGTTAAAGGATGTGTCAGGGGGGGTGAGATGGAGAAGAGGAGGTAGTGGAGTCTGGCTGATGTGATGTTGGAGTGAGTGGTGGGGTTTCCGTGTGATTAGGAGTAGAGTAGGCCGAATGGTGTTGGCTGGTGGGTTGTGGGTGTGTGACAGGAGATGAATTTTCCTCATTATGAGGAGATGGGGTAGGTTGAGAGTTATTAGATGGAGTCATACCCTCATGCAGTGGAGTGGATAAGGTGTTGGAATGATTAGTTCCACTTTGGGATGATAAGTATGAATTAACATTGGAATTTGAATTTAAATGGGAAGAGTGTTGTAAAGTAGGCGAAGGGAGTATGGGGGGAGGAGCAATCGGCGCAGTGGGTGTAGTGGAAGACAGTGGACACGTGGAAGAACCGTTTGACTCCATGCATGGATTGCATGATTTGAGATGCATGTGACGAAAGGGATATATTTCTGGAACGAACCGAACATGCCTACTCGTATAGACTTTATTTTGAGATAAGTCAAGACATAAATAGGCAGATTGAGTAAGAGAGTAGCCCATAAACACACATGGAGCAGACCTTGGTTGAGTTTTAGTGTGTGAATATGGACGTAGCCATGGGTAACACAGACACCCGAAAGGTTTTAATTTTGTATAATTGGGAGGTTTACGATGGAGTCGAAAATAAGGAGTGTCATTGTCAAGGATCGGTGTCGGGAGCCGATTTATTAAGTAAACTGCCGTTTTAAAGGCATAGGCCCAATATTTTATAGGAAGACCGGAGTAGTGTAACAATGAGAGTCCGGTTTCAACAATGTGTCGATGTCTCCTCTCAGCCAACCCATTGTGTTCAGGTGTATGAGGTGGGGTGGTCATATGTGAGATCCCATGGGCATTGAGATAAGGACGCAATTTAATAAATTCACCACCATTGTCCGAGAAGAGTGTGGTGATTTTATGATTAAAATATTTTTCAACTAGGCGGTGGAATTGGGGAAACACAATTGAGACATCGGACTTATGTTTAATAGGGTAGAACCATATGTACCGACTGAAATAGTCCACAAAAATAACATAATAGTTATACCCTTCAACGGACTTTTCAGACGTGCTCCAAACATCACTATAGAGTAGTTCTAAAGGACGATTTGCAGTCATAGAATTTTCAGAGAAAGGTAATTTTGTACTTTTATTGATTGAACAGGACATACAATGAAATGAACTGGATGAGGTACATGAGATCAAACTTTTATTGTGATGAAATAGATGATTGAAGACACGACGTGACGGATGACCCAGAATGTGATGCCATTGAGACGGAGGTAGACGTTGAGTGAGGTTGACTTGTGGTCCTTGAGATATCGGGGCATAATAGACATCATTAATGTTCTCTCCGCGCAGAAGTGGTGCCCCCGTGACCCGATCCTTGACAACAAAATGAGTAGAGAAAAATTCAATAGAGACATTATTAGTTTTGCATAATTTGGCAACGGAAATAAGGTTTTTATTTAAAAGTGGAACACACAGAATTTGGGAAAGGGATAGGGGACGGTTGGGTGTAGAAAGGGTGGATGAACCAGTATGAGTGATTTTAAGTGCATTACCATCACCTAGACGGACTTCATCCGGACCTCCATATTCCGTGAATTGAGGAAGACGGGTGACATCATTAGTGACATGGTGGGATGCTCCACTGTCAAACATCCATGATTGGTCAGGTTGAAATGATTGAGTAGACACATGATTGACCGTGGGAGACGGATTAGGCGGTGCACATGAGATGTGATTATCCTTGAGAAAACGTTGGAGCTTTCTGCATTGTTGCACCGTGTGACCGAGATTATCACAAAATCGACACACTATTTTACCAGGAGAGGACACTCGTGAGGAGTAATGGGGTGGTCCACCTCTGCCCCTACGTGATGACACACTGCGACGCTCAGCACCAGATGGACGACGGTCATTAGGGAAGTGAGAGGCCACCGTGCGATCATCCATTTGAGTTGCATTGGCAGTAGGGATAAGAGATACATTGGCTGCGGCTGCTTCGGCGATGTCTTGCTCTTTTTCAAGCAAAATTGTCTGAAGTTCTGCCATTGAAAGTGCTGTTTGACGAATTCTAATAGCTGACCTTAATTCTCCATATTCAGATCCAAGTCCTTTGAGAACATTAATAACGATATCCTCCTCAGACATGGGGTTTTGAGCTAGTGCAAGGGCGTCGGCCAGTGCCATCATTTCAGCCAAATATTCCAGAATAGATCGGTTACCCTTGATAGTCTTCGCCATAGTGGTTTTGAGTGAGATAATGCGGCCGCGGGAGGTACTTGCATAGGTCTGAGCCAATTTTTCCCATGCACAGAGAGCTGTAGGAGCTGATGACAGTAGAGGTTGGATTGTTTCGGAGCAACTTCCAATTAACGCACTCAGGATGACCTTGTCCTGACGATACCAAACGGTGTAGGCGGGATTTGGTTGTTTTTTAGCCTCGTCCAGAAAATGGTCAGGAGCAATTGTGGTGCCATCTACATAGCCTTCAAGTCCGAGACCGATAAGAGCGGCATGAACTTGGCATTTCCAGACGGAAAAGTTGGAAGATGTGAGTTTGATGGGGAAATTGGTAGTGGCGGTGAGTTGGATCACCGGGGTGGTGGCGGTAATGGCCATAGAAAAAAAAAATTATGCTCGTATGAGGCTGGCTCTGGATACCATAAAGGGATTGTAGAAGAGTATTTTTCATATATAATTCAATATACACGAATCACTATTTATACACATGTATGTACTATTAGATAGGAATGACTAGCTAATATAGTGGAACTAAATGCATACGTTAGTTATGCTAAATTAGTGGAGCTGATACATACGTTAGCTAATACATACGTTAGCTATACCTAAAATAGTATATACGTTAGCTATGCTATCATAATAACAATAATGTGTATAATAATTATGATGCTTCAATATGAACTACCTAAATAGAACTAAAAAATGGTCAAATATAGAAATATGACTACATTTTTTAAATATTCTTCGGTTGGACTCTTTATATGTCTTTGAACATATATGCCCTTATACCCGTAGCTTTTAAAATGTTTTAATTAATACTCCTCCCGTCCCGTAAAAAAGATCCCGCTTTCCTTTTTTAGCAGTCCCAAAAAGTTCTCATTTCCTTAAATGAGAAGTTATCTACATCAATACAGTGCCAAACAATGGAAAAAGGTGACAAACAGTGTCGAAACAGTGTCAAAACAGTAAAATTTACCCTCTTGTAAGTTTATTTCTTTAATATGTGTGTAAGTCAACTCGTGACCTTCTTCCCGGGATAGAAGGAGTAATAAAGCCGTAACTCTTAGATTTAATCCTAAAATGTTTCCCCTCTTCTCGCTATATACTCTTACAACAGCCGTTAAGCCGTTTTACTCTAGATGTAATCCTAATATTTAATGCCGGGGAATGTAACTGGGCAAGGGCTAGAGCTCTTGAGACTTAAAAGAGGGTGAGCGAGGAGCATGAAAGCCAAAATGTGACCGTTAGAACTAAAAACCCCTTACGGAGAACTATACAAAATCCAACAATTTTCAAAAATCACCTTAAATAAATCGTGTCCTCGTCAACGTAATCCAGCATCCACCCACCTGTAATCCAACCTTAAATTTCAAGAATCCGATGCCCAGCAAACCCACACTTCTGGATCCTTCTTTCCTTTTACAGAGAACTTCCTATTTTTTTCCCTACCTTCTTTCTCTCTGAATTCGTTCATCCTCAGCGAGCAGATCGAACAAACACATCCCTTACTTACAGTGCCACCCTACAATGGCGAAAAGCAGCGCGGAGGAGGCGTGGGAGGACGACGTCGTTACAGTGACATTGGAAGGGGAGAAGGTTATAGTGAAGGAGATGAGGAATGAGGAAGAGTCTCATCCTTATGCTTTCCATGTCTCTGGCCCCCGCAATGTTTCCTCCCCCAATTGGAGAGATCTAATCAACTCCAGTTGGTCAGTTTCCCCACTTCTCCATTTTCTGATTAAATTTCATCAAAATGAAATCTTTTGCTTAGATGTTCATATTCCGATACTGGGTTATGTTTCTTTGATTTGATTCATGCTTCTTTTTTGTGTTTTTTGATTGTAAATCTGTAATGGCAAGGTTTTAGTATACTTTCTTTTTCTAACTCTTTTTGGGTTAATCTTGATTTGGTCCTAAACCTGGGTAAGCAAGGATGAAGGGAATTGAGTGTCTTAAGGAAGTGTTTGGGTTCTCAGACTCTCAGGTGGTGTGATATGTATATACTGCTAAGTTTTGAATTTGGAGTTGACTAAAACTAGAAGTCTTTGATATGGTAATATATGGATCTGGGGCTCTGGGCTGATCATTCCCAGTTTGGTAACACAGGTTGGTTAATGTTGGATAAGGCTGCTTTTCTTGCTGATTGGATTGTGTTTGAATAAATGGTTCCAATTAAGAGTAAACAAATCTAGGTTATGCACAAATAAGACGGATTTAAAAAACAGAAATGTAGTTTGATTGGATTAAGTAAGAAAAAGTATAAGTAATACTCCGTGAATCACAAATTAATTATTTAAAACGGAAAAAGTGTCGGTTTGTCGTTGTGTTTTAAGAAAATGAAGTGATTTGTTTGTCCTCATTTTTATTTGGACCATGTACACAAAATGTGTACATTACCTATGTACACATTTTAAGTGTTTGTGGTCTTCCTTTCTTAATGTTTGCATTAGGTAATCTTTTTCTAGCAAATCTATTCCAAGTGAATAACAGATTAAGTGTTTTTGTGGTCTTCCTTTTATTGGAAAAAATTTTATACGAAATTTTTTACACTAAAATATTGACATTTTTTAAATCTGGGGTGAGCGGTTTAGCCTGGGCACCCCCTAGCTCCGCTCTTGATACTACCTCTTTCCCATAAAATTGTTCCCACTTTGACTTGGCACAGAGATTAAGAAACTGAAATAAAGTGGAAATGTATTGTTGTAGTTATGTAAGAAAAAGGTGAAATGAACGTGAACCACAAAAATTGTCCAAAAATGATAAGTGGGAAGAATTTTTTAGGACGATCCACAAAGGAAAGTGGGAAGTATTTTATGGGACGGAGGGAGTATTTTAAATTCATTTTTATTCTTAAATTCATATAACACCATTCATTTATTTGGCCCAGTAAGCATTATAGCACATTGACCGTTGACCATTTCTTTCTGGGAAATAATTGTGTTCTTCCATTTATCTGCAGGAAGGATGCAAATTACAAAAGGACAGTAATTGCTTGCTTCATCCAAGCAGTATACTTGGTGGAGCTAGACAGACAAGAGAACCGCACAGAAGAAACCGCCCTTGCCCCCAAATGGTGGACCCCCTTCAAGTACAGACTCGCCGAAACCCTAGTCGACGAGAGAGACGGCTCCATCTTCGGCGCCGTACTCGAATGGGACCGGGCGGCGGCGTTGACCGACCTGGTCTTCATCAGACCAAGCGGCGCACCGAGAGCGGTTCTGGCTCTACGCGGGACCCTCCTGAAGAGCCCGACGATCAGAAGGGACATCGAAGACGATCTCCGGTTCCTGGCGTGGGAGAGCCTGAAGGGATCGGTCCGGTTTAGGTGCGGAATGGAGGCGGCGAAATCGCTGGTCGGGAAATACGGGTCCCACAACGTCTGCATTGCCGGACACTCGCTCGGCGCCGGATTCGCCCTTCAAGTGGGGAAGGCGTTGGCGAAAGAAGGGATATACGTGGAGGCGCATTTGTTCAATCCGCCGTCGGTTTCGCTGGCTATGAGTCTCAGGAATGTGGCGGAAAAAGCGGGGTTGGTTTGGAATAGGTTCAAATCTCTGCTTCCTTCTCAGGCCGGCTGCATTTCTGAAAAATTAGAAGGAGGAGGGGAAAGATCTAGAAAACAGACCCGGGTAAAGCAGTGGGTCCCACATTTGTACATAAACAACAGTGATTATATTTGTTGCTCTTATACTGATCCAGAGGAAGCCCAGAACAAGAACAGAGCTGCTGCTGATGGTGACGAAGATAAAGAGAATGCGAAGCCCCGAAAAGGCGGAGGCGGCGGGCAAGTGGCGGCGAAGCTCTTCCTTTCAGTGAAGGGAGGAAAGCAGAGGTTTTTGGAGGCGCATGGGCTAGAGCAATGGTGGTCTGACAATTTGGAGCTTCAAATGGCTCTTAATAGTAGTAGGCTTATAAGCCAGCAGCTTAAATCCTTGTATAGCCTCCCACCCACTACTGCCTCCTCCACCACACAAACAGAAACAGTTAAGCATAAGCTTAAGAGTTAGCACTTAGCAGAACTATGTATTCTGAAGTGATATTGACAGTATTAAATCATTGTTGATTATCTGCTTCACATTTTTCGAACAGTATCTTGATGTGTTGTTGGTCTTTCACTTTTGAAAAAAAAAGGATGGCACATCCCATCTTTGAGAGCGTCCAACCCCGACCGGACAGTACGTTCGGAGGATGTAAATTGGACTATAATCCCAATTTGACAGATAGAGAGTGGGGCTCTGTCCTCGGTACTTGCAGAGGTCCTATGCATTTTTAGCATAGTAACCCTCATAGCAGTTGCCGGAATTCGAATCCAGGACCTAACCCTTGTGGCACTCCCTTGCTACCAGTTGAGTTACGTCCACCGGTATCTTTCGCTTTTGAAGCTTCACCCTTCACACTTAATTTTTAAATGAATGGTAAAATTGTAAACTAGGAGTATATGGTAGCTACAAAAGTTGCCTTCAACAAACCTTCTGTCAAAACAAACTAAACAACATCAGAGCAAAACAGCCTAAAACTCATCCTCTACAAGCGCCCCTCTATACAACCAAAACCAGGAAAGTACTTCCCAATCAATCAAAAAGGTGGAGGGGAATTTCAAAAATTGATAATATTTGGAGGATAAATCCTATACAAAACTTTATAGATTAGGACTTTAATCAGTACAATACAACCAAAACCAGGAAAGTACTTCCCAATCAATCAAAAAGGTGGAGGGGAATTTCAAAAATTGATAATATTTGGAGGATAAATCATACTCCCTCCGTCCCAATTTGTTTTGCAAAATTTCTTTTTTTGGCTGTCCCAAAATGATTTTTCACTTTCTATTTAAAGTATGGAAGCATGAACAAAATGACTGGTCTACCCTTACTTTTACCTTACACGTTTTCTACTCCCACCCACCCCATTTATAGAAGAGTAATCAATTTCAACCTACCATCTTCTCTCCCCTCTTCAATTACATGCTCTTCTCTCCCCTCTCACTTCGTATTCCGCTTCTCCCTTCCATATCCACGTCTTTTATCTCCCACCAACACCTCTCTTCAACTTCTCCATCTCTATGAATTCAAATCTGAAATATTCTGCGATAATTCTCAAAATATTCTGCGATGAATTCAACACCTCTCTCCATCTCAGCCAACGAGACTCCTTTGGTCAGTGAATTCTGCGATGATTCTCAAAAGTCTAGGGTTTTGCGGTGAAGACGATGAAGGACAAATTGAAGGTGTAGGGTCTTGCAATGAAGATGGGAGGTTCAACGACGAAGGGTTTCTCCTCCAATGATGTAGTGCTTCATCAAGCTTGTTGCCTGGTTGGGATCCAACAATGCGAAACAGATCGGTATATATGCTTGCCTCTTTAACTTGATTATGTTCTAAAAATTGGCTTAAATTTGTTGATGTTTCGCCTCTTTAAGCAGTTTAGTGCACTCAACTTTTTGATGTCGAATTGGTTGACACTCAAATGTGCTAATTTTGATCTGTGTACGCAATTTTATGTCTTTGGGTGCCAATGTTACTGAACTGAGTGCCAATTTTTAGTGTTTTGTTGTCATTTTTTAGTTTTTGGGTCATTGAATTGAGTAACCTGCACTAAAACTAAAAAATGGTGTTTAGATTAAAATAAGTTAACAACTTTTGTAAGTAAAATCAGTTTGCATGAAAATTATCTTTACAAGTGCAGGTTACAAGTGTGTTAAAGTGAAACCTGTGTGCCATAAAATGAACTTAGAAGTGCATTTTAAAACTGCCCTTTAAAAGTGCATTGAAGTAAATGTAGTTAAAACTAACTTTAGAAATACAGTTTAGAAGTGTATTGAAGATCAGAGTGTGATTTAGTTAAGTGGAACCAGATTGCATTGAGATCTTTAAAGAACATTCAAAGAACATTCAAATGAAAGAGTAAAAGTAGATTACCTTAAAACAACCACACATTTAAATTGAGTAACCTGCTCCATCTAAACCAGTTTTCTAAACTACACTGAAACAAAATGTACCCTTTAAATAAAAAAGCATTCCATAATACAGCCTAATGTTTAAATGTACCCTTTAAACAAACAAAATATAGGCTGCCAGCACACAAAATGTACCTTTAACAAGAAAAGGTTACCTAATGTAGGCCTATAAACAAAATGCAACCCTTCTATGTGCTGTAAAAGTTCAGATTTGAATATCAGTGGGATATTCAGACATGAACTCCATTTGTACATTTCCTGTCTCTTCACTTGCTGCCATTCCTATTGGCCTTTGCAAATGAGCAATTGATTCTTCAACCAAAATAGGATTAACTGAAATCACATTAGGTAGAATACCTTGTCTTTCCAGTCTTCCTTTTCCCATGTGAGGCAGCTTGTATCTGTTGTGACCTTTGCATTTTAGCACCTCTACCATAACATGTTGCAATGTGACCCACACACGATTCAAATTTCTTGAATCAAGCTCATCAAATGATTGTTGTACATGATTGACTAAGTCATCAATATTTTTTGAGCTTTTTTGATGTTTTTGTGAATCAATAGCTCTAAACCATCCTAGATCTAGCACATTTAGATCAGGACTATTAGGAGGTTGACATGTTAATTGAATGTCCCATTCACCTTCTGTTGCTTCCTTCACAAAGTCTATGTCATCACACTCTATATGTGGCTTAGCATTATCTTGCTGGATTATTATGCGCTTGGCAGCCCCTTCTGGCCATTTCTGTTTGAGGGCAGGTAGTATTTTCTCGATCATAAACTGTTTAATTACCTCCCTTGTGATGCTCGCAATAGGCTTTGTAACTAGAGTTCCTCTTGAGTTTCTTTTTGCCGTATCTTGATAAGTGAACGGGAAAATCCCAATCTTTCCATCCCACAAGACCTCCCCTTTTCTCCTATTTTAGGTCTTGCGACAGCCGCTAAAAACATTACCTTAGAAATGAACCTCTTACTTTGGACTGCCCTATATGGGTCAGGTTCATCAGGTTGCATATAGAAATGTTCAACTTCATCGGTTAAGTAGAACCATTTCTCATCTATGTGGATATACTCACTGAAATCGTGAAATGTAGGATTTGATGGAATTGTATGATGAATTAAATGGCTTAAACAGAACTCCATTCTTTGTCGCATACCTTTTTCTGTTAAAAATGGTTTGACTGCATTTGAGTGCCTCTTGATTGCCTTCTCCTTGACAAGTCTGTGTAGTGTAGATCGGGCATCATTCAATTCTACGACAAGTGACCTCAAGGTGCTTCTTCTTCGAAGCGGGATGTCTTTAATTTTTTCGATGTTACTTCGCTTTCGCCCAACATTTCCTTTTAACTTAGTCTCCAAATCAACTGCTTTCCCCGCTTTTATTTGCGCTTGGAATTTCTGCCAAATATACTGTGCGTGGTGATATATTGAACAAAACTCCTGCATCTTTAAGTGTTCCTTTCTTCAATTTTCCGTTCACTTTGTTAGCTAAAAGCATCTCAATAACTTTGTGCCTGTCCATTCCATTTAAAACAGTGTGCTTCTTTGCAAAATCTTGGTCTTGAAAAATGACTACTGTGTTTGCAGTCTGGACAGAAGGAGTCACATGGGGGGGGGGGGGGGGGGGGGCAAGGGATCTGGAGATGAAAAGAGTTGTAACTCAGTTGAAGGGGGTACATGAATATCCTCAGCCATTTCAAAGAAGTGCAGAAAAGATGGAAGATTAGAAGAAGAGAAGCTGTATTCTGAGTTTTGTTTTTTGACAGCTGACTGTCTTGGTGGGAAACTGAATTGAATTTTGGTAGCTGACTATTTATCCATGTACTCCGTAGTCTGTTTTGTGTGTAATATGGTGGGAAACCAAAATGTTTAAGTTTCATTTTGAGTGTATCGTATTGTTTCCCTCCCTCTTGGGAAATTATTTCCCTTTTGGCCACATCAAAAAGTAGATTTGACACTTGTATAGACCGTAGCTTTTGTACCTTCTTTCAGCATATGTAATGCTTCCTACAGTTTGTGGGTACGGTTAAAGTGCTTTTAATTGTACTTTTTTACCTTTTCAGTTTCTTCTTTATTTTATGAGACAAGGGCAAAATAGGAACCTCAAAATAAATTTCTAACCTTTCTTAATCCTCGTGCCGGTCAAAATTTGCACCTCAATTCGGGACGGAGAGAGTATACAAAACTTTATAGATTAGGACTTTAATCAGTACAACCATACTCTTGACAATTGCAGTCAGGGCCGGCCATGAGGAAATGAAGGTCCTATACAAAAATAATAATTGAGTCTTCTTTTCAAAGTTTCAAACACAATTTAAAAAAACCGAACCGAAACCGCACCGACTCCAATGGGACCCGAAAGTCGGGACTCGAACATAAATCGGTTTAATGAAGGTTTTTTGAGTTATAAAATCGGTTCGAACCGAACCGAACAGATTTTTATTAAGAGGTATTTTTAATTATTTATTTTGTAGAACAAATAGGTAATTTAAAACTTGTACGTCCGTATTTCAACAATTAGTTGATTTGGTCCGGTGGTTGATGTTTAGAAATCAGCGTGCATGCTTTTATTTTCACATAGGTTCAAATCCTGCATGCCTCGCTTCTTTTCTTTTTTGTTTCTAAAGCTTAAGATGCTCACACCGGTGGAAACAGAGGATTTACTACTCCTTCGTTCCTATATACACGCTCCTCCTTTGCAGATGAGGAATACGCGAAGTGACGAACCAGGCCTGCTTCATAGCCTTGCCCTAGTCCAATTTTCTTGTAATTCATTTGGTTTTATATCAAAACCGAACCGAAACCACCTAAATAATATTATCCCTCTGTCCCGCTAACATTGGGACAAGAGGAAGTGACACGCAAATTAGTAAAAAGTGATTTATGTGGTTGATATTGAATTGATAAAATAAGAATAAAGTAAAAATGATTTAGAGTCACACAAACTTTACCAAATTTGGTATGAGACAATCTTAATGGGACGGACCGATAAGGTAAAATGGGACAATCATAGCGGGACGGAGGTAGTAATATACTACTACAAAAAAAATTGGGCCCTTCCAATTTTTTGGGCCTTGTGCGGTTGGACACCCTGCACACCACCAAGGCCGGTCCCTGATTGCAGTGTTTCCTTTACAATTCTGGTGTTTCGAACCATCCAAATGGTAGTTATCAGAGCACCTTTGAAATCCCTCAGTATTAATTAGTAGTAGTAGCTTTTTTGAATCCCTCTTAGTATTAGTAGTAGTACCTTTGAACACTTAACAACACTAATGAGAACAGTAATTGATGGAGTATATGGCTTAGGGATCCCCGGCTCACAAACTTCTAGTTCTCCTACACAGGCCCACCAAGCCCAGTGAGCACTCGAAGCCCAAACGTAGCAGCTCAGGCATGAATAAGCCCACGTTGCACATGTGTATGCCTTCAGCCATACCTGCTAAGCTTCTAGGAATTTCTGGGCAAAATGTTAGCCTTCGGCTACTCCACGCCCTCGGCTGTATATAGGCTTCGACGATATGTTGCCTTCGGTATTTTTACCATGCCTTCGTCCACACCTAGGCCTTCGGCATACAGCAGACTTGACGAAGATTCCTTTTAGAGACAGACAACCATCACATTTAATGCGGCGTCACATCCAACCACCGCATTTAATGCGGTGCATATGCGATTGCCGGTGCCACCCCGATTGAGGTGACCCTCGGCCGTCAGATGTTTGACACGTGTCCCTACCTAGCATTTATGGCTGCTATAAATAGCGGCTGTTTTTCATTGTAATTTGACACAACATTCTATATTGAATACATATTCATTCTCTCTCTCTTACTTGCTCTGACCTCTCTCTAGGTTATTTCCCGCAATAACCTCTCAGATACGCTACCCCCGGGTACACTATCCATCATTTGATGCTTTCATTGAGAGCTGAAAACATACTTTGTCTTCTAGTATAGATTTCTAGTCTTGATCCACACACCCATGAATTACGTCAATGACTATAAAGTACAAATGCTCAGCGGATTATGAGTAATTAAAAGAAGGGGAAAATGTCACATATGTTCTCGTACGCTATCAGGAAGTGAAATTAAGCCCTTGTATGCTAAAATCACTCAATCAACCCTCGTATAGTTGTAAAAACAGTCAAATCAGCTTTTGAGTTGGTCACCTCCCAATTTGTCGGTTACCCGCTTACGTGGCTATTCATGTGGCAAATTCAACAATGATGCAGTATCTGATCGTTTCCAAAATTACTCACATGAATTTTCTTTTCACTCAAATTAACAGTCCAACATGTTGCTCCAGGAAACTAGAATGCTTCATATCAAGTTGAGATACAACAATGCAAAGAAAAAGAGGAAGAAGAATATGAAGAAACAAGAAGGTGATAGGGTTGTCTCAGCTGATGGCCAGAAAGAAAAAATAAAAAAAAAAACAGGGAAAAAAGAATAATAGAATAACAAACGAATGTGATCTGTTAAATCCCGGGTCTTAACATGATCAAAGCTTGGGAAGAGAGATATCCTAGAACCATGGAGAAGACAAGCCTAAATGATGCAAAATGAAGGAACACCACATTGATTTCTGCTTAGCTTATGTGACACTTATGTGAGTGGCCACGTGGGCTGCCACACATGCATATTAACTTAGAATCGGGTTGGTTACCGACCTAGTTGGATAATTTGGATGTATCTTAAAAGTATAAGTGTATGGCTCCGTTTGAGTTTCCATGAAACCGCTGACTTTTTTAAACTAGAAAACGCTACAATTTGTAGCGGGTATTCCAAGCCGCTGAAAATCAAACGGCTTCTATGTCTGAGTGATTATTTTGTATGAGGGCATAATTGAGGTTTTCAATATGTAGGTAGTACTATATTATGAGAGTTTTTTTTGACAATTTTCTCTAAAAAAATAATTATCAAAACAATGTAGTCAAATTTTATTTTACAATACTTCAAACTATAAAACAATGAAACGTATTTATAGTACGGGAGTATTAGATGTTTTAGAAATTGTTCTAAATAGGAGCAAAAACCATTTGAAATTTCAAAATAGGAGTATCATGTTTTTTATTCGTTGAATAGGAGTAATCTACCAAGTTTGAAAAAATGTCATGTTTTAAAGCCTAGTAATGTCAAACTTGGCAAAAATTTACTCCTATTTAAGGAATAAAAAACATGATAGTCCTATTTGGAAAATTTCAAAACTTTTTTACTCCTATTTAGTCCTAGATGTTTCCATAAGTACAAAGAAATTAAGGATAGTCTGTTACCAAATGAAAACATTCTTAGATACCTACAAATATTACTAAAAATATTACCCCCGTCCCGCAATTAAGTTATCACTTTCCTTTTTGGGCAGTCCCTAAATTAAGTTCACACTTCCTTACTTTCCTTATTTGCCAAATTATCTACATCAAAACAATGTCAAACAGTGCAAAACAGTGCAAAATAGTGTCCAAAGAGTGTAAAACAGTTCCAAAACAATAAAATTTACCCTCCAGTAAATTTTTTTCCTTAATATGTTTGAAATTTATGCTGTAACTTAATTGGGGGATGGAGGGAGCATTGATTAAGTTGAAATCTTGCACAAGGAAAGCAGGGACATAAAAAGTTGAATTCTAAACTTGTTATTACAAGTGAAAGTATCAAGTATTATTATATACTTTAAGAACTTGCAGATTAAGATGAATTAGCACAAAGCAGGAATTTTATAAAAAATCAATTCCAGTTGTTTTAGTGCAAATAAAAGCATTTTTACTTTTTAGCAGCTCTGAAATTTGCAGACTTGATTAAATCTAGCACAAGAAAGAGGAAAATAAGAAAATGCAATCCTACGGGTACACAAAACAAAAACGACTCCGCTGGGGATCGAACCCAGAATCTCTGGTTTCGTAGACCAGCGCCTTATCCATTGGGCCACGGAGTCCTGTTGTTAATGATATAGTTCTACAGCAAATTAATTAATGCTTAATATAGTTACGTTCTTGTTGTTGATTGTTCGACGCTTAACCCATGATACTCTCTGACAGTTCACCCTCGACCCTCTCTCCCAACTTCCCAACTTCAAACTAATCCAAGCGTTCAACAAATCAGGATCATGTTGTTAATGAGTCGGACTCTTCTTCCTACGCATCTTCAATGGAGACCTCCGGTGATTCCAATCGCTACAGCGTGCTTCGCTTCTTCTCAAGCTCTCAACACAGACCAACTCCGAGAACAGCTTGATCATCTAAACAAGGAAGCTAACCAGACAAGACGCAAAGGTATATGCTTTTATGGACTGGTTACTATTCATCTCCTTTGGTTTTGATTCTTGATTTTACATTTTTACTGTTTAATTCATTTCTGCCAATTGAAGTTTAATCGGGTATAATTCGCATTTTTGTGTTGAAAGTAGTTGGATTTTCCTGCTGACTTGCTGAGCATGTGTTTGTTATATTTTCTGAATGGGTAGCAGTTCTTGCAAAATTATTTCTACACGACTAGGGGTTGAACAATACAGAGAGAGAGTATCTATCATCATGCAAATTCCATGGTTTTATAATTTGTGTACATAATAAATTAATAATACCCCCAACCAAAAAAATGATATTAATACTTCAATTTCTGTACGTGAATTGATTTCTCCTTATTCAAATAGCTAAGAACATGTATAGTACTGCTCACATTTACGCAAAACTATAAACTAGATCCAATGCACTACTCAGTAGGAAGTGCTTATTTCCTTACACCTCATGACTCGTGATGTGGCGTTTTTCAGCAAATAATGCAAGACTGAGGCTACTAAGGTTGTCTGAAGTAGCAGACAAACTTCGAAGGCAAGCTGCAATTAGTGTTCGATCTGGGAAGGAGGATGATGCCAGGGAACTGCTTTTCCAAAAGAAAAAGGTTTTGCAAGCTATGGAGAAGTCAAAGAATCGCATTGAATTGCTTGATGAACTTGCTGCAAAACTTAATGAGGTCTAATTTATTGACTCTTTAGGGTTCTTCACGATCTTTTTTACTACCTCCACGCCCCTAACATTGAGACAAAAAGGAGTAGTGCGGTTATTAAAAAAAGTGAAATTGTGTGATTGATAATGTAAACAACGTAAGAATGACTTATAACTATCCAAAATTTTAGCAAATATGGTATGGGACATTTTAGTGAGATGGACAAAAAAGATAAAATGGGACGAATATAGGGGGATGGAGGGAGTACTATATAAAACTCCCTAGTCCTTTTTACTACTGATTGATCAAACATTCATTTTTTCTCCCTTATTTTCTATAACGTTTTAAATATCTTTTTAATTCAGTTGTACTTGTTTAGTATTACGTAGTATATTTCACATTGTTGCTAAACATTTAAGTTAAGTCACTATCAATGAGCATATTCTTACAATTATCATACTTGTAAATGGTTTCAGCCTTGACTTGTTTGACTAACCACACATCCATTTTGGGAGGAGTAATTATTTTCACATAAAAGTTACCAACTGGTGCCCTTATCAACAATTTTTTATGTAATAATTCAATTTTCCACCCATGACAATCAGATTTTTTCTCTGATTGGAAATTCTTTCTTGATGAAAACCACAGCTACTCTGCTTCTCACTTGAGTAACGGGAAGAATTTGTGTCCTAATAATTTTTTCTTTAGTTATTCATTTTCTAATTCGGCAACTAAATCTGATTTAAGGCAATATCAATGAGGGAGACACAACTGATTGGCAATGCTTCTTTAGAACTTGAAGTTATAGCCGAAAATATTCCTAGTGTTGTTAGAATAGTGTCTGTCAGCGAGAATGATTGTAACAATTCAGAAGGAAATGAAGTTCACATACGGGAAGATGTCGAGGTTTGTAATCCTCAAGAACTTCAACATCTTAATCACAGTGTGGCAGACCCTGAAGCTGATAACGAGGCATCAGCTAGCGGGAACATGTGGAGTGAAGCTGACAGTCTGGATAGCTTGAATGGAATATCTTCATATGAGCACTTTGTGGAACATATAAATCTAGAACTCAAAAAAATTGAAGATGAAGTAGTCGCAGTTTTGAGATATGCAGGCTTAGTTATTGAAAGCAAAGAGAAACTTGAAAATTTAAAGATTCAACAACTGCTGGACATATTAGATAGCATTCAACATATCAGAGAGAGGTACTCTTCAACACATCTAGCAACTGTTACCTTTTAAGTTCTGGTTGACTGGTTGCTCATCTTTTTCATGCCTTTCCTAAACATTATGCGTTTTGGTATGTTTCTCATCATTGCTTTTGATTATGGAATATCTATATTTTATAATTGTGATTATGTATGGTGTGGGATACATTATAATGAAGTAACTTATGGTTTAATAGCCTGCTTAATTGTGCTATTTCGGTGCTCAAATATGTTTTTTTTGTTCTTTTTTATAATGTCCATTCAAAACTAGTTAGCTTCAAATCTAATTTGTAATATATCTAATTTTTTGTCTAGGTTCCCACCTAGGTACCTGGTTGTGGAACCGAAAACCTTCAACAACAACAACAAACATCCAAGGCTTAATCCTAAAAGAGTTTGGCTCGGCTAACATGAATCTACACTAAAAAATGAACCGAAATCTTCTTGCACTAAAAAATTTCTCAGACACTGCGTCTAGGTACCTGCTGCAGCATTGAAAAGCTGGAATGACATTGCATTATTTATCCATTTCTTAAATTTGCTTCACAGTCCACAACTTCACATCATGTTTACCCATTTTTTCATTTTCCAAGTTTCATCATTTGCTAAAACCCAAGGCACTCACATTTCGAATCTACTTGTCTCAAGTTTGTTACATTTGGTACGACTTGTATAACGTTTTTTCTGCTTTGGAGTTAGGTTGAATCAAGTACTGCAATGTGTATTTACGTTGGAATTGTGTCATCTTTCAACAACATATTGGTATTGTTGTATTTAACTTTAGTAGCTTTCCTAGTTGCCTAGGAGTGAGTTGTGCCAGCGAAACTTAGAACACTAAATGTTTTTCTTCACTTGTTTGGAATATGTTCCCTTTACCGCATCAATGACTTAATGGTTGTAGAGCAGACATGATGATCCATACAGAAAGTGGATTATTTAATCTTTAACCTTAGAAATTGAATTGAATATGCTTATCCATGCAGGCATCGTATTTCTTTCTTGTTTGAAACAATGTTCGAATATTTGCAGACTAGAAATTAAAGGATCATCCCCAGAAAAATGAGCATCAAGTGAGGCTTCACGTTGCTGCTATGGTGATGTTAAAGCTTTACTCATTTCTCATACTCCATATATGTTTTCCCAAGGTCATGGAGACAATTATTTTTAGTAGAGCAATCGGCTAATGTCAACATATAAGTGAAGTACGGAGTATATACTATCCTCCTTATCTTAATAGTTGCAACATTGGAATTTACAACACTATTCATATACTCTACTTTGACTAGATTTTATTTATTATGTATGTTAATTATTATTTTTGAAAAATATTGTTGAATTCGTCTCATTACAAAGTTTTATAATCTGATTTTTATAAGTTTTTTTTACTAATAGAGATTTATACATAATGATAGTCAAAGTTGTGCATTGGCAAGCGTGAAAAAAGGAGTGTTGCAACTAAAGAAGAACGGAGGAAGTATAAATTATGCATATCGACTAGACCTTTCTTTTGCTCTATCGTTGTACTTAAGATGTTTTTACTTGAACTGTTTTCAGTTCCAGACCAAACTTAAACTGACCAGACTAGATTTAAACAGACCAGACTAGACCAGACTTATACATGTTAGACTAGATTTCCGTAGTTCTAAAATACACAGAAATCAGACATTTACTAAATCACACAAGATCAAACTTAAACAAACCAGATCAGACCATACCATCAAATTTTAGTCTACCGTACTTCCCTAATTAAGATGTACATGATGACCAATTCTGGTACCCTACCCCATACCCCCACCCCTACCCTACCTTGTACCTCTTTCCTTACTCACGCTTACCCATGCCCCTTACCCTACAATATACTCCGTGTGTGTGTGTGTGTGTGTCTATATATATATATATAGGGAGGGGTTCTAATAAGAACACACCTTAACGTGAGAACGTGAGAATAAATCTTGGCTTTTAATCTTGAGAATCAGACGGTGAAATTAGTGGAGGTGCACAATAAATTTGTACAACAGATACACCTGCGTGGCTTGACTAGTGGGTAAAAGTGTCTAAAGATGGGTAACGGTTGAAGGGCAACATACTCTCCATAAAAATAGGTCACTATATTATTTTAATTCATGCAAAATGTTTTTAGTTTAAAATTGATTTAACTTTTAAACTATATCAAATTTTTAGTTTTTAGTCTAATCCAATTTTATTAAAAATTATATCAAATTAAATAATATTTTTTTTATCTTTCATATGACACCAATATAGCATATATAATTTTTTTTTATTTAATTAAAAAAGTACTATATGTATGTCATAAACCGAAACAAACATATCCAACTACCGTACACACAAGAACATGTATCTAACACACAATCATCAATATTTTATGCACATAAAAAGTAGTATTTCACACATAGTTTGTATATAAAGCACAATGACAAGTATTTTGGTCACAAAAAGTAGTATACAATTCACAAAAATAAAGAATTAATATATAACCCACTAGGTCTTTGATGGAGTATATGGCCCGGGAACCCCCGGCCCACAGACTCCTACTACTCCAGCAAAGGCCCAACAGGCCCAAAAGGCCCAACAGGCCCAAATCACAGCGCCCAGAGTACCAAGCAGTCCGCACAACGCACAGGGATGCCTTCGGCCCCCTGGCCGAAGGCTCCAAATTCTCACAGAGCGGGTTTCTCAAGCAAACTAAGAAACTGGGAGAAAACGGCGAAAACAGTAGCCCTCGGCACTGTGAGCCCTCGGCACCAGGGTGCCATCGGGTGGAAGAGCTCTCGGCTACTGCTCTATAGCCGAAGGCATCTCACTCGACAAGATATCCGCCTCACATGCGTACAGACCAACGTACCCCGCACAGACGTCCCATCCAACAGCCGCATTAAATGCGGCCACATGCGGCTGCCAGCGCCAACCAGTTGAGGTGACCCCTCGGCCAATGAGCACTTGACACGTGTCCCTGCCCGGCATTTATTGCTACTATAAATAGCACCCCATTTCCCCATTTGTAACCACGCTGAAAAGTGATAGCACACTGAATACACTCTCTCTCTGCTTTTATTTACTTGCTCTGACTTCTCTCTAAGTTACTTCCCGCAATAACCCTTCGGATATATACCCCCGGGTAGACTATCCATCATTTGGTGCTCTCGTTGAGAGGTTGAACAATCGAGTAAGAAACCCTCCCCCTCGACCAAACACAAAACACTAGCCCTCTATCAAAATGGTGAGGACAACACGTGCCAACTCAAAGAACGTAGAAGACAAGAACCTGGCCCTCGGTGACGTCAACGCCCCCGAAGCCTCTCACAGGGCTCCCGAGGGCGGTGTCCTCGCTGGGCTGGAACAGGCGGCTGTCGACCTACGCCTTCAGATCCAACAAAACGCCCCCGATGCCCGCCTCGGCATCGAGGCCAAGAAGAAAAACCGGAGCGATGACCAAGTCAGCCCTCCGGTTCTCACCATCGACGTACAATCGGCGCTCTCCGCCTTCATCCAAACGCTCACCCAGAACCCGGGTGCCTTCGGCACCCTGGCTCCAGCTCACCCTCAGATCGGGGAAAATATCATACTTCCCCCTCTGCCACACCCCTTCGGAAATCCCACCCCTCGGGTGAGAAACGACGAAGGGGTGGTGGCCCAAGAAACATCCTCCCACGAAGTTCAGTCCCGGGACCGCCATAATGACAACAGGGAGAGGCCCCGTACTTCCACCCTCAACCGGCTCGGAGGAGGGCCAGACCGCCGAGGGGTCCAAGACCGCCTCGGGGGGAAAGCACTCCAAAGGCCCCAGGAAAGCGGGGGATCTGTTTCGAGGGCAGACGAGGAGCGTCCCCCTCGGGACAAAGGCAAGGCACCCCTTCATGCCGATGATGCTCGGCACCAAATCAACCAGGCCCACTCGGCCCGGGTTCGTTCGCAGGGGGCGGAGACCCTCCCGAGGGACCCCCGGGACGAGATTATTGCGGCCCTCCAACAAAGCTCACGCCACCACCTCCACCCCTCACTCAGATCTCAAATACGAGGTCATGATGGCCAAAATGGAGGAGTTACAGAAGAAGGTGGCCGAGGGCTCCGGGGAACCTGTCATCCAGCTCCGGACTCGAACGCCATTTACCCCAAGGGTATTGGCGGCCCGGATCCCGGAGAAATACCGAGGGCAACACATACAGCCCTACAGCGGGAAAACGGACCCCCAGGAACATTACAGCAAGTACCAGAACAGCATGATGATGGTGGGGGCGTCAGACGAATATTTGTGTCGTTGGTTCCTCTCCACCTTAGAGGGACCAGCATACGAATGGTTCAATAGGCTGCCCGAGGGCTGTATTGATTCATGGCAAGAACTCGCCCAGCGGTTTTTGACACAATTTGCCGGGAGGCGTCGCACAAGGAAGCACTTCTCCCACCTCCTAACAATACGCCAGAAGAAGGATGAGACCCTTCGGGATTTCCTGGAGCGCTGGAGGACGGAGGCCGACAAGGTCGACGGTGCTGATGACGGGACCCTCCTGGCTCTCCTACAAACCGTCCTCCGCACCGGCAACTTTTCAAGGAGCCTCATCATTGAACCCCCCCCGCGACTACATAAGGGCCTTGCAGCGGGGGGACCGATATGCTGAGGCCGAGGAGGTGGAGAAGTATCACCAGCATCCGGACCAGCAGCCCCCGAGGGCTGACAACAAGCACAACCGAGGGCCGGGGGCTCCTCCAAATCGCCCCAAGGCTTCGGGACCCTCTGATGACCGCCCTCGGCAAGGCCAAGCCAAGCCCGGGGGAGGTTATAGGAGCAACCCTAAGACTTGGGCCCAACCCATTCTCCTGGACCGCCCTCGGACCCCATTGACGCACCCCGTCAGCATCATCCTCGATTTTGCAGAGGAGAGGGGCCTCGTTGAGCGCGATTCTCGCGCACCCCCGGAGGTACACGCTATCAACCCTCAGTTCCCCTACTGTCGCTTCCATCGACACCAGGGGCACAGGACCGATGACTGCCATCAACTGAAGACGGCCATCGAGAGATTAATACAGGCAGGGCACCTGTCCCAGTTTGTCCAGAGCCCTCGGCAGGAGGGGCCTTCTCATCAGGGACCTCCCCGAGGGCACCATACGAAGGTAAATGCCTGGGTGAATCCGAACACCATCCCCCTCGGCAAGAAGAGGGAGATCGGAAACTTGGAAGAAGAGGAGGAGGAGTACCCCCACTACCAGGAGAAGAAACGCCACATCCTCATGATCACCGGTGGCAATACAGGGGGCGATTCCACCAGCCAGCGGAAGAAGTGGGCTCAATCGCTTTACGTAGGGGAAGTCACTCATATGCCCCCGGTAAAGCGATTGAGGGAGGAACCCATCACCTTCACCAACGCAGATCTCCCTCCTACTTCTTCTCCTCACAGGGATGTCTTGGTGATTCGGACAGAGATCAACGACACCATCATTCACCGAACTTACGTTGACACGGGCAGCTCCGTCAATGTAATGTACCTCAGTACCTTCAGAGAGCTGCATCTGGAGAGGGGGTCTCTTCGGCCCATCAAGACCCCTCTTACCGGCTTCACCGGCGACACTATTGATTCCGAGGGGGTAATAACCCTCCCGGTGATCTTCGGCGACGGGCTCCATAGAGCCCAGCTCGAGGTGGAGTTCGTCGTCGTCAACATTGATTGCGCCCACAACATCATCCTCGGCCGGCCAGCCCTCGAGGACCTCAAAGCCATCATCTCCATGAGGCATCTCTGCCTCAAGTTTCCCGCCGAGGGGGGCATTGGCTACTCCCGGGGGAATAAAAAAATTGCCCGCGCCTGCTATCTTCAGGTCACTAAGAAGGTAAGCAAGACGGAATTCCGTGTTGACACCATCACCGGAGCCGTCGACAAAGAGGAAAGAAGGCCGAGGGCTGAACCGGCCGAGGACGTAGAAGACTTTGCGCTCGATCCGGCCCAGCCGGAGAGAGTCGTGAAGATTGGAGCCTAGCTCCCTGAAGATTTGAAGACCGGTATCACCGACGCCCTCCGCGCCTACTCCACTGTCTTTGCATGGGGGCCGGAGGACATGCCGGGAATTAGCCGAAGGGTCATCACCCACCGCCTCTCGGTGGACCCCTCGGCAAAAGCAGTGCAACAACGAAGAAGACCCCTCTCCGCCGAGAGAAGGGAATTTGTGAAGAAGGAGGTCGCCATGCTCCTCTCCATTAAGCACATCAAGGAGGTGAAATATCCCTCATGGCTAGCAAATGTAGTCCTCGCCCAGAAGCCCCCTACCTTCCGCATGTGCGTGGACTACACCGATCTCAACAAAGCATGCCCTATGGATCCATTCCCTCTACCAAACATTGATCAATTGGTGGATGAGACCGCGGGATGTGAGATCATGTCCTTCCTCAATGCCTTCCGAGGGTACCGTCAAATTTTCATGCACGAGGAGGACGCCGAAAAAACTGCCTTCATGACTCCCGAGGGGCAAATTCTTAGGCTACATGGTGAGCCGAAGGGGTATTGAGGCCAATCCCGAGAAAATCCAGGCCATCATCAACATGGAGCCCCCACGCAATGTGAAGGAAGTTCAACGGTTGACGGGCCGCCTGGCAGCCCTCAACCGCTTCCTATCTAAATCGGCGGAAAAATCTCTACCCTTCTTCCAGATCATGAGGAAGACGGCTGGCTTTCTATGGACTCCAGAATGCCAGGGGGCCTTCGACAAGCTCAAACGATATCTATCTTCACCTCCTGTGCTCTCCAAACCCAAGGTAGGGGAAACCCTCTACCTCTACCTTGGGGTTAGCCCGGCGGCCATCAGCTCGGTGCTCATCCGGGAGGAAGACGGCATCCAACATGCCATCTTCTACGTTAGCAAGACCCTAAGGGAGGCCGAGCTCAGGTACTCCCCTGTGGAAAAAACGGTGTTAGCCATCGTTTAGACTGTCAAAAAATTGGGCCACTACTTTCAGGCTCACCCGGTTCAGGTCCTCACTCATCAACCCCTCGGCGCCCTCATGAGGAGCCCCACCAGCTCCTCCCGCATGGTGAAATGGGCTATCTTCTTGAGCCAGTACAACATTGACATCCGCCCAAGGCCTGCCATCAAGGGCCAAGCCCTGGCGGACTTTGTGACGGAGTGTACCGCAAGGGCAGCCACGGACGGGGAGCCCTCGACTACCTCGGACGACTGGTGGACCCTCTACACTGATGGCTCCTCCGCGACCAAAGCATGCGGGGGAGGGGTAGTCCTCATTACTCCCGAGGGCTTCAGGGCCTACTATGCAATCCGCTTCTCCTTCAAGGTCTCCAACAATGAAGCCGAGTATGAGGCCCTCCTATGTGGTCTTCGGCTGGCTGCCAACATGAGGGCTCGGCAGATCCACATCAAATGCGACTCCAAGTTGGTCGTTGGCCAAATCTCCGAAAAATATGAGGCCAAGGAGGGGAGAATGAAACAGTACAAGGAAGCGGCCAAGGAGTTGCTTAAGGTATTTGAGGCACACTCTCTCACTCAAATACCGAGGGCTCAGAACTCCGAGGCCGACATATTATCTAAACTCTCGGCAGACTCCCCCGAGCACATCTCCAAAATTGCCAAAATCGAGGAACTCAGCCTCTCAAGCATCCATGCAAGCCCCGTGATGAACATACAACAACGTCAGGAGGATTGGATCTCAGATATCACCGCCTTCATCTCCACAGGGCAGCTACCCGAGAATGAGGCCCGCGCTAAACTAGCAAAGGTGAGGGCTCCTAGCTACACCATCGAAGATGGGAGGCTCTACAAACGATCTTACAATGGCACGCTACTTCGGTGCCTTCATCCAGATGAAGCCGAGGTCGCAATGGAGGAAGTGCACAGTGGCACTTGCTCAGCTCACCAGGGACCCTTCTCCATGTCCCGAAGGCTCATTCTCCAGGGCTACTTCTGGCCAACCATGGCCAGGGACTGTGCTGACCTTGCCCGGAGGTGCACCGCATGTCAACATTTCCAGAAAGCTCCCGGCAGGCCAGCGGTCAACTACGCCCCCATCAGCACCTCTGTCCCATTTTCTCGATGGGGGATAGACCTTGTGGGCCCTCTGCCGAGGGGTACCTCCAACAACAGATACATCATTGTGGCCGTCGACTATTTTACCAAGTGGGTGGAGGCTGAACCCCTCGCCAGCATCACAGAGGCGAAGTGCCGTCACTTCGTCCTCAAAAACATCCTCACAAGGTTTGGCGTCCCCCAGCAGATCATCTCCGACAATGGAACACAATTTGAGGCAGCCCCCTTCTGTGCCCTTCTGGAGGCATGGGGCATCAAACACACCTTCTCCTCCGTTGCCTACCCTCAAGGCAACGGGCAAGTAGAGAACGCCAACCGGACCTTGCTCGAGGGCCTCAAAAAGAAGCTGGAGGCCTAGGGTGGTGGCTGGGTGGAAGAACTTCACAACATCCTCTGGGCCTACCGCACTACCCCTCGGCGCGCTACAGGTGAAACACCCTTCTCCCTCTGCTACGGTTTTGAAGCCAAAGCTCCTACGGAAGTCACCCTTCCTACCCGAAGGGTGATCCAATATGACCCCGAGGTCAACGACAGCAACATGGCACTCGACCTCCACCTCATTTCAGAACGCCGGGAGCAAGCCTTCATCCGGGCAGAAAACTACCGAAGGCAAGTTAAAAGCTACATCGACGCCAAAGTTCGAACCCGGGAATTTCAAGTGGGGGACTATGTCCTCCGGAGGAGGGAAGCCAGCCAACCAACCGAGGGGGGAAAAATGGCACCAAAATTCGAAGGCCCCTACATCATAGCAGCCATCATCAAACCCGGGACCTACAAGCTCAAACGCCCCAATGGGAAAGAGGTCCCTAGGCACTGGAATGTACACCATTTAGTTAAATTTTATCAATAATGTAAGAGCGGCCAAGCCCCCATAACTAGTGAATGTACTATCCTATGGCCTAAGGCCTCCAATTTCGAAGAATGAAGATACATTCAAGACATCAAGCCCTCATACTGACTACAGGCCCACCGCCTCACCACGAGAAAAAACCCCTCCGGCACCAAGTGCCGAGGGCGGACGCCATCAACACTTACAACGTCAGTGAAAACACGACGTGTTTTCAGTCAAGACCCCTCGGTACCAAGTGTCGAGGGAAGGAACTCCTATCACCAACGACAAGGAACACCATGTGTTTCATTCCCCTTCGGCACCCAGTGCCGAGGGTACATCCCCACCTTCAACATCAAAAAAGAAAAGATGAGAACACCAAGTGTTCCCATAGAAGACCCCTCGGCACCCAGTACCGAGGGTACACCTCCATCATCAAACATCGAAACAAAGGGAAAAACACCAAAATGTTTCAAAGAAGACCCCTCGGCACCAAGTGCCAGGGAGATGCTCTCCTATCAACTTCCAAACATCTATTGGGAAACACCAAGTGTTTCATTTGAAGACCCCTCGGTACCAAGTACCGAGGGTAGACACCTCCATCAACTGCAACAAAGGAGAACACCAAGTGTTCCTACAGAAGACCCCTCGGTACCATGTACCGGGGGCTACACATCGAAACTAACACCAAGTGTTGTTTCTAAAAGCCGTACCCCACGAGGACGCATATACCGAAGGCGCCACCATCGGTGCCGGCGACACGTAGTGCCCCCGGCCATTTGCAACTAGTGTGCAAATGAAAACCCTTCCTTGAAACGCTTTCCGCGTCACTACCCCCAGGGTGTGACAGGCATGAGAAATGCCCAGGATTCGACTTTCAAAAACGGAACGCTATCCGCGTCACTACCCCCAGGGTATGACAGGTATGAGAAATGCCCAGGATTCGACTTCCAAAACCGAAACGCTCCCCGCGCCACCACCCCAAGGGTGTGGCAGGCCACGGATTATGTCTAGCGCCGAGGGGACGACTTTCAAAAATGAGGCGCTTTCCGCGCCATCCCCCAAGGGGAGGCAGGTTACAGACCATCATATCTTGTACCCAGGAATGCCAAGGGCTCAGCGAGAAATCAAAGAGTACACTCCAACAAATCGCAAACATGCCGAGGGCTCCCCACAGGAACACCTCCGGTAATTGAAGACTCCTATTTCCCGAAGGATACTACTCAAAGAAATATCATCAGGAAACGGCTAAGTCCACTACCTGGTCACCTCCGGTCACAAAAACACCGAAGGCTTCAACAATACAAAGGGACTGGACTATCCAAGGTTCACTAAACGGTACTTCAATCAGGCACCGAAGGCATCTGTTATGCACAAATACCGAGGGCCCTTTCCCCATGACAAGGGTCAAATTCTACAACTTTTAAAGTGTATGCCGAGGGCACACACTCCTCATTGGCTTTCTTCACAACAACAGGACTCAACATCAATTTATGCTTAGAACAAATTCTAAGCCCTGAAGGAGCAGCCCTCGGGCATCTCGCAAAGTAATGTAGAGTCAAAAGGCACCTATCACCCGAAGGCTACACAAACAAACAACACTTGAAAAATTCCAAGTCCCAAAATTGGACCCCCGGCTCAATCAACACTACATCCAGGGGAATACAATAGCCGAAGGCTCTGCGATACAACAACACTGGCAAACAAAGAAAATTTCCATGTCCTAAAAATGGGCCCCCGGCTCAGTCAGTATTGCAACTAGAGGAATATGACAGTCGAAGGCCATACATCAAGGAGGGACGTCATCTCCCGAAGGCTCCCAAAGGAGATTTTGCTACTCATACATCATGAAGGGATGCCATCTCCCGAAGGCTCCCAAGGGAAACTCTACACTTAGAAGATTTTCTAAGTCCTGCATATTTCCCCCCGGTCAACTACTCATACATCATGAAGGGATGCCATCTCCCGAAGGCTCCCAAGGGAAGCTCTACACTTAGAAGATTTTCTAAGTCCTACATATTTCACCCTCATCTCAATCGAGGGCTACAGTACACAAGGAATCAACACTCAAGAAGATCTTCTAAGTCCTAAAGAATTAGCCCCCGGCCTATTCAATATTTCCGTTGGGGCTCCACAATAGCCGAAGGCTACATGACATACTACACTTGCAAAGATCTCTAAGTCCTGTGCGTTGGGCCCTCGGTCCAACATTCACACATCAGGAAGGGATGCCATATCCCGAAGGCTCCCAAGGGGAAATCTACACTTAGAAATTTTCTAAGGCCTAGGATTTGGGTTACTGCAAACACCCGAAGGCCCTATGGTGTGCTACACTTAGAAGATTTTCTAAGTCCTAATTGCTGCTGAACCCTCGGTTGCATATCCAGCAGAGGGTGCCCAACTACCGAAGGCTTCCAAGGGCAAGCTACAATTGAAAAAAATATTCTAAGTCCTAGACATACATTCAAAAATACCGAAGGCATACACTCAAGGAAAACGAAGGCATACATTCAAGCAGAAAGGAATTGGAAAAACAATTCATATATACAAAGCCCGAAGGCATTCAATCATTCATCACAACAAAGAGTGAATATAGTTATTACAATGATTAGGCCGAGGCCATTACAAAACTGTTCAAATTACAGAATACATATCAAATCATGTCATTCCCGGGGGCGGCCTCCCCCGATGGCTTCGAGGAAACTTCTGCATCAGCCTCAGGATCGTCGCCCTCGGCTTCCCTTCGGAGCTCGGAATCCTCCAGGTCTGGCCTCTCGACATCAGGGGGGAGAGGGACACGGATATCTGGCTGCAGAGGGGGGAGCCCGTACGCCGCCGGATCAAAGTCCTTCGGCTCAACCTTCAGATGGCGGGCCATCCTCCGGTAGATGAGGGCTTGAGTGAAGAACTCACCCCCATCATAATATTGCTTACCCTTCCGGGCCATCCACTCCTCCCCTAGGCCCTCGGACCATTCATCAACCGAGGCCTCAACAACTGAAGACAACCATGCCTTGTGCCCCTCGGTCTTCCACCCCCCGTCCAGGAACCCGGAGATGGCCTCCTCCCGGGCTGTGGCGACAGCCTTCGCCTTGGTGGCCTCGGCCTCCTCGGCTGCTCTCCTTACGGCCTCCACAGTGGCCGCCTCAGCTTCTACCTTCTCCTCCCTGAGCCTCTCGGCCTCCGCCCTCGCAAGCCGGAGGTCCTCCTCAAGCTGGGCCATCAGCTTCGTGGCCTGGGAGTCCCTAAGGATCAACTCCTTCATCTTGGCGTCTTGCCTAGCCTTGTGGAGGCGCCATTCCTCCAGCCGTCGGAACTGCTCCCCGAGGGCAACGCAAGTCTGCAAAGATAAGCGGGTTGTCAGGGCCAAACGTGATTTCTTAGTTCAAAGTGGGAAACAAAGAAACAAACTACAGTGAACTCACCGTGAGGGAAGACCGGAGGATCCTGTCTTCAAGGGCTTGATCATCGTCAGCCCCGAGAGCTGCCCTGTCGATATCGAGGGTTATACCCCTCAGGAGCGCCCTCGGGTCGGCTGTGCCATTCAACACGGCCGTACCAGCCGAGAGGGAGAGCGTGAGGACCTCGAGAGATGGCTCCCGGACCACCCCCGGCACCTGCGCCGTCGGCATCACCGGAGGGTCATCTATAATCACCACCGGGGGGTCATCCTTCGCGGCATCCCCCTTCTTTAACTTTTTAGGGGCTTGGGGGGGCTCCTTTGCTGACGGCTTTCTCTTAGCCGCAACAGCATCGCCCTCGGGCTTTTTGAGGGGCGCACCGACGGGCTTTTGGCCACCTGCGTCCGGCCCCTTCGGATCCTTGGCCGGTTTGTTCTTGAATCGGGCGAGGCCTTTGACGTTCATCATACTTACTGGAACACCTGCAAAAAACAATGAGGGGTTAGGATCGAGGGGTCACTATTAAGTGGCATAAAGGATTAACAAAACAAATGGACAAACGTGCTAAGATGAGGGTGAGAATGCCCTCAGCTACTACCTCCGGAGGCTCCCTCAAACACTGGGAACTTCTCATCAGTTTCCCCCAGGAACCGGTACCGCCGGAACCCGAGGGTGTAGAGATCTGCTTCTTTGGTGCAGTCCTTGATGGAGATATTCTTGTCCCGGCCCTCCGGGATCATGGCCAGAATCCTGCCATCTTTCTCGAGGGCGGCGCTCCTCCTCTTCTCGTGCCTCCTGAAGCGGTCACGCAGTTCCCTCGGGAAGGGGCTCTCGGCTTGCTTCACATAGCACCACCGGTCCTTCCACCCCTTGTTCGAGGAGGGCGCCTCGGTGAAGAGTTTGAACACGGATACCTGCTGCAGATTAGCGAATCCCTCGGCATTCGCGTGCCCCCCCGGCACAGGTTGAAGCTCTGGAAGAAGAGATCCAGGCTAGGCGTCACCCCCCGGGACTTACAGAGCTGAAGGAAGCCAGTGATATAAGAATGGCTGTTCGGGGTCAGCTGGCAGGGAACCAGGCCAACGAACCGAAGATACTCCCGGAGGAAGGGGTGCAGGGGGAAGCGGAGCCCCATGGATACTGAGAGGACGTGCACCGCAATGCAGCCCTCGCGAGCCCGGGAGAGAACGTCATCCGGACCCGGTGTCACCACGATGGCCGAGGGGCCCACGTGAAGCTGGGTGACATAGATGTCCGCCGCATCAACCTTCGACTTGATCTCCAATGCGGCGGTGTTGAGATAGGAGTACCCCTCGGGCATATCGAGGGGCTTCCCTTGATCTGCTACGCTGCCCTTCTTCTTGGGAACAGCGGCCTTGGCCTTCTTCTTCCCGGGGGCCACCCGGAGGGGGACCGCATTCAGCGGCCGAGAGGTGCTGGCCTCCCCGGCACCCCGAGGGGGGAGCACAGCAACGGTGACCCTCTCGCTTTCCTTTTGTGCCTCCTCTTTAGCTGCTTGCCAGGCGATGGCCAACTCTTCGTCTTCACATTCCTGCTCAAAGCCCTCGGCCTCCGCCTCAGCTACGAGGGCTTTCTGCAACTCCAGGGCAATGACGGCATCCTGTCCCACCGAGGACTCCGCACTTGAGGACTCCACGTCCGAGAGGACTTCATCCTCCACCGAGGGCGCCCCCGAGATATCTTGAGAATCACTCTGGGACGACATTCTGACTCTAGTTCGAAGGCTCGTACAACTAGTGTTTTCTAAATGTTCTATCTCCTAGCCTAAGGGCGCAATACAGGTAGCTAAGAGGTGAAGGGTAACTGGAGAACTGACCTTAAGGACAGAGGATTCAATCGGGGGCTGTTGTTTCTCTCTCTAGAAAAATTGGCAGAGCTTCGCTAACAAGTTTTTCGCACACGGAGGAATGCTTGGCCTTGGGGTATTTATAGGCGATGAATCCGGGCTTGGGCCTGGATTCCAGGCCTCCGGACGGACCGCCATCATTACACACCGCCGTTTCACCCAACCAGTGACGCCGCCCACGAACAGCCAACCATCACACGCCACGTATGCCACCCCCCCAACGGCTATATCCTGTCGTTACATATTCCAACGGCTATATTTCCAACGACTATATTCTGGAAGCCCCCGGGTTTTGCTACTTCACTCCACTTCATCAAGGATTGCCTCCGGGTGCACTCACCCAGAAGTGCCCCCGGGTTGTGCCCCACACAGCACATTACACACGCCTTCGGGATCACTCCTTCAGATCCCTAGGGCTGCATATCAGGGCACCCCTCGGGGTTTCCCCCTCAGCACTACAAAACCGGGTAGCCCCCGGGGAGTGCCTCATTGACGGATGGCCCATGGCACACAGGTAATGGGAGCCCTCGGGTATCTTCATCACCAACTCATCAACAAACAGTGGACCCCCCGGTAACAACTTCACTGCTGCCCTCATCTGGCAGGCCCTCGATCCCTGGATTGAGGGGCTCCCCTTCGGCACCACCAGGACATCAACAGCAAGCCTTCGGCTAATCAACACAGGAGCCCTCAGAAGAGAGAGCCTTCGGCATTCCCGTCATTTTCCATTTTTCACCAAGGTTTGACATTTTCGATTCATCATTGGGGGAATTCGGTGCACTCTTTTTCCCTCATTAGGATTTTTTCCCAAAGGGTTTTTCCTAATGAGGTTTTTAACGAGGCATCCCCCCAAAATGAAACGAAAAGCGTCAGCCTTCGGCCCACAACGGCAACGTAACTACTTTACTCCTTTTCACCACTTTACAAGTGCCTCAAGGAGTGGGGGACTGGAGGACCCCTTCGGGAAAATCTGTGAAATTCCAACAAACAACAAAGCAAGCCCTCAAGTCCCGACATGTGGGTAACTGAGGGACTGCCTTCGGCAGGGACATAAAAGCAACAACTCCTCACCAACTTCAGAGATCACAACGGGACAACATCAAAGAGCAAGCACGAATTACTCCTTTTCCCTCAAGTACCTTTCGGCAAAAGGAGTGAGGGACTCCTGATGGAGTATATGGCCCGGGAACCCCCGGCCCACAGAAACCTACTACTCCAGCAAAGGCCCAACAGGCCCAAATCACAGCGCCCAGAGTACCAAGCAGTCCGCACAACGCACAGGGATGCCTTCGGCCCCCTGGCCGAAGGCTCCAAATTCTCACAGAGCGGGTTTCTCAAGCAAACTAAGAAACTGGGAGAAAACGGCGAAAACAGTAGCCCTCGGCACTGTGAGCCCTCGGCACCAGGGTGCCATCGGGTGGAAGAGCCCTCGGCTACTGCTCTATAGCCGAAGGCATCTCACTCGACAAGATATCCGCCTCACATGCGTACAGACCAACGTACCCCGCACAGACGTCCCATCCAACACCCGCATTAAATGCGGCCACATGCGGCTGCCAGCACCAAACAGTTGAGGTGACCCCTCGGCCAATGAGCACTTGACACGTGTCCCTGCCCGGCATTTATTGCTACTATAAATAGCACCCCATTTCCCCATTTGTAACCACGCTGAAAAGTGATAGCACACTGAATACACTCTCTCTCTGCTTTTATTTACTTGCTCTGATTTCTCTCTAAGTTACTTCCCGCAATAACCCTTCGGATATATACCCCCGGGTAGACTATCCATCAGTCTTCATATAGTACACATGAACTAGTATCTAAAGCACAATATGTATATACTTTGGTATGTTAGAGAATTCGTATCTAGCACATAGTATAGACATATAGAATCAAAACAAGTATGTCATGCACAAGAACCGATATCTAACACACAACCCCGAATATGTAGTGCACATGAACCGGTCTCTAACAAAAAACTCATTTGTGTAATGCACATAAACTTGTATCTAGCTCATATTTCGTATATAACGTAAAGACGAAAATATGTGTTGAAAAATATAACTAAGATATGGGGATTAACAATTAAGAGAGATATTATTGAAGAAATAATTGAATAAAAAGGGAATGATATTTTGATTACTTTGTTTGTTGCTCACTAACGAACTTTAATTTCTATACAAACATGCAAAAGTTCTCTACATGGAAAATAGTATTTTGTTTCTAAAAGTGACCACTGAATTGACGTAAGAAGTAAATTAAAAAGCTAATAAGACATGCACTTTATTCTTTCCATTACTACAAATGTGGAATGCATTAACTCCAAGAACGGTTAATTAAACGACCAACAAAGAATAATACGAAAATGCCCCTAGTTCCATTTAGTTCATCGCAGATCAGCGTATATTTTGGAGGGTGACGATTTGTTCTCACGTTCTCACGTTAAGACATGTTCTCATTTGAACCAATATATATATATATATATATATATATATATATATATATATATATATATATATATATATATAATATTATATACTCCAAAAATACTTGCCAAATATATACGTATGTGTTTGTATGCCTAATAAAGTGAAAAAGAACCAGCATGTGCGATCATTTTTCTAAGAGATAAAGGTCTCGAAGTTCGAACCCTCTCCTTAACTTCTTTTTACATATATTTATTTTTTATCCATTTTCTTTTATTCGTTTCATATTCAATTCATTTATTTATTAAAATCTTTGTGACTAATTTTTTTTGACAAAGTGATATTTGGTAAGTACCATTACATGTTTTTATCAAATGAATATTTTGCTATCTAATTCCACAACATATTTTTTAATGTGCTTTTTTGTTTGTCCTGGTTTGACTTTTTGAGTCAAACTTATTAAACTTTGACCGCTAATTACTCAAAATTAATAATACTTTACCCCTAAAAAATTAATTTATATGATTCTTCGTAATATGTATTATTCAAACGTCAATTTATTATAGATTTTATAGGTATATATTAATATATAATTACGGTCAAACGTCTATCTAGTTTGACTCAAAAAGTCAAACTAGGACAAACTTTAAGGGACAAAAGGAGTATATACTATAAAGTGTGAGTTTGTAACGAAAATTTCTGGATACGCCACTCATGATCACACTATTAGTTATTCCGTATTTTTTTCTAGAAATCCACATACTATGGTACTTACTAGAGTATTTTTTTACCCGCACGGGTAGCTCAGTTGGTTGAGTGGTAGGAAAGTAAGAAGATTGATCAAGGATCGAAACCTACAACGGTCATGTGACGATTATATCTCTTGTGTGAGGAGTTGGATCTTTAATTTGGTGCACACATGTACAAAATCTATCACTATTGGACAAATTGAGTTATCGTGACTTATAACTTCTCAATTGTCTTCTCAGGTTGGGATGCGGGGGGGCGCTTAGGGTTGGTGATCCAACCTTTTTGAAAGATGAATAGAGTACTTTTTTGCAAACCAACCTTTATCAATTCTAGATCGCACTAGATCAGATCATGTCAGATTAGACCAGATCAGATTAGACCAGATCAGATTAGACATACGTGGATTTGATAGTACTAAAATACAGAGACCGGATATTTATCGGATTAGATTAAAAAAAATTCAGTCCAATTAAAATCATCCTTACTATCATAATTTCATTGCACATGGTTACGTACAAGTGTATAGTCATCGCCACATCCATGACTTGTCCTACTACAAGGCTACAACTCGATCGACTTTCTTGTGGATTTTTCAGGTGAAAAAATTATCTGAGCAGGTAAAGGGAACGAAGAACCGAAAAAGCAGTGCAACGCACTATATTTGATCATTGAGTATCAACTATTTTGAACCAAATTATGGAAAGTCAAACTTAACAAATCGTCATTAATATATATCAATGACATACATTTTATTTTATGCGAAGCGCTTTTTGGGTGCATGTATGCATTAGTAATATCATTCCAAAACACTTAAAATATGTTACAGATATACCATAAATACATTAAAGTGATGCAATAAAAACTAATTTAATCACGTACGTAGTATTAATTTAAAGACATTCCATTTTTTGAGTAAGCAGCAAGTGTACGTCATAATTTAGTTAAAGATGAATATAGAGTACTTTTTTGTAACCCAACCTTTTTCAATTCTAGATCGCACTAGATTAGATCAAGTCAGATTAGACAGATCAGACTTTGATAAAACTAAAATATAGAGACCGGATATCTATCAGATCAGATTAGATCATAAAAAAAAATCAGTTCAAATAAAATCATCCTTACTATCATAATTTCATTACACATGGTTACGTACAAGTGTATAATCGTCGTCACATCCATGACTTGTCCTATACTCCTACAAGGCTACAACTCGATCAGCTTTCTTGTGGATTTTTCAAGTGAAAAACTTATTTGAGCAGGTAAAAGGAACGGAGAACTGAAGAAGCAACACAACTAGGCATGGACTAGGCTGGGCCGAACCGGCCCGCTACTGTGCAGGCCCGAACCGTACCGGGCCCGGATGGGCAGTTCCGAGCTTTTACCCGGTTGGGGCGGTTCTGGCAGATCAGGCTCGGGCCTAGATTTCCATGGACCGGCCCGGGCGGTTCGGGGCGGGCCCGGTTCAATTTTTTTTGTTTTTTCAATTATTTTTCTTTTCCTTGGGTAGGGCTGGGCGTTTTGGGGAGGTTTGGGGGGTGGGGTGAGGGGGGGGGGGTCGGGGGATAACAAGAAAGCCAAAAAAAAATTATACATAGAACCGGACCGGACCAGCCCGACCCGGTTTGCCCCGGACCCGGTATCAACCCGGGTCGGTTCCGGGCCCAAGTATCTGGGAAAAAAGCCCGCCCGGGCCCGGCTAGAAACCGGAACCGGCCCGGGTCCATCCCTAAGCGCAACGTACTATATATGATCATTGAGTATCAACTATTTCAAACCAAAATATGGAAAGTCAAGCTTAACAAATCAGCATTAATATATATCAATGACGTAAATATTATTTTATGCGAAACACTGTTTGGGTGCATGAATGCATCAGTGATATCATTTCAAATTACATAAAATACGTTACAGATATACTACAAATACATTACAGTGATGCAATAAAAACTTATCTAATCACGTACGTAGTATTTATGTAAAAGACATTCCATTTTTTTATTAAGCAGCAAGTGTACGTCATAATTTATTTAAAGATGCGTAGAGTACTTTTTTGTAACCCAACCTATTTCAATTCTAGATCGCACATGATCAGATCAAGTCAGATTCGACCTGATCAGATTACACAGACCAAACATTGATAGTACTAAAATACACAGAGAACTGAAGAAGCAGCCCAACGCACTATATATGATCATTGAGTATCAACTATTTTGAACCAAAATATGGAAAGTCAAACATAACAAATCAGTATTAATATATATCAATGACATAAATTTTATTTTATGCGAAGCACTTTTGGGTGCATGAATGCATCAGAGATATCATACCAAAATACGTAAAATACGTTACAGATATTTATACCACAAATACGTTAATGTGATGCAATGAAACTTATGTAATCACTTACGTAGTATTAATGTAAAGGACATTCCATTTATTGATTAAGCAGCAAGTGTACGTCATAATTTAGTTAAAGATGAATAGAGTACTTTTTGTAACCCAAACTTTTTCAATTCTAGATCGCACCAGATTAGATCAAGTCAGATTAGACCGGATCAAATTAGACAGACCAGACTTCGATAGTACTAACATACAAAGAGAATCGAAGAAGCAACGCAACGCACTATATATGATCATTGAGTGTCTACTATTTTGAACAAAAATATGGAAAGTCAAACTTAACAAATTAGCATTAATATATGTCAATGGCATAAATTTTATTTTATGTGAAGCACTTTTTGGGTGCATGATTGCATGAGTGATATCATTCCAAAATACGCAAAATACGTTATAGATATACCACAAATATATTACATTGATGCAATAAAAACCTATCTAATCATGTACGTAATATTAATGTAAAAGACATTCCTTTTTTTGATTAAGCAGCAAGTGTACGTCATAATTTAGTTAAAGATGAATAGAGTACTTTTTTGTAACCCACCCTTTTTCAATTCTAGATCGCATCAGATTAGATCAAGACTAATTAGATCAGATTAGACAGAGCAAACTTTGATGGTACTAAAGTACATAGAGAACCGAAGACGCAGCACAACGCACTATATATGATCGTTGAGTATGAACTATTCCGAACCAAAATATGGAAAGTCAAACCTAACAAATCAGCATTAATATATATCAATGACAAAATTTTTATTTTATGCATAGCACTATTTGAGTGAATGAATGCTTCAGTGATATTATTCCGAAATACGTAAAATACGTTACAGATATATACCACATATACGTTACAGTGATGCAATAAAAACTTATCTAATCACGTACGTAGTATTAATGTAAAAGACATTTCATTTTTTGATTAAGCAGCAAGTGTACGTCATAATTTAGTTAAAGATGAATAGAGTACTTTTTTGTAACCCAAACTTTTTCAATTCTAGATCGCACAAGATTAGATCAAGTCAGATTAGACCGGATCAGATTAGACAGACCAGACTTTGATAGTACCACTACTACATTTTTAGACCTAATGTAACATTAATGATGTAACATATCTATAATAGTGTTACCTATTTCTCTAATGTAATACTTTTTAGACCTAGTGTAACACTTTCTAGAAGTAAAAGTGTTACATTAGGTACTATAAAGTGTTAGAATAGGTCAAATGCAACACCAGCAAATGTAATGGTAAAACAATGTTACATTTTCTCTGAAAAGTGTTACAATAGAGAAAATGTAACATTTTCTTACCATTACATTTGCTGGTGTTGCATTTGACCTATTGTAACACTTTATAGTACCTAATGTAACACTTATACTTCTAGAAAGTGTTACACTAGGTCTAAAAAGTGTTACATTAGAGAAATAGGTAACACTATTATAGATATGTTACATCTCTAATGTTACATTAGGTCTAAAAATGTAGTAGTGTACTAAAATACACAGAGAACCGAAGAAGCAGTGCAACGCACTATATATGATCATTGAGTATCAACTATTTCGAACCAAAATAGGGAAAGTCAAACTTAACAATTCCGCATTAATGTATATCAATGACATAAATTTTATTTTATGTGAAGCACTTTTTGGGTGCATGAATGCATCAATGATATCATTCCAAAATACGTAAAATACGTTACAGACATACCACAAATACGTTTCAGTGATGCAATAAAACTTATCTAATCACGTGCGTAGTATTAATGTAAGGACATTCCATTTTTTTTATTAAGCAGCAAGTTACTTCATAATTTAGTTAAAGATGAATAGAGTACTTTTTTGTAACCCAACCTTTTTCAATTCTAGATCACACCAGATCAGATGAAGTCAGGTTAGACCAGATCAGATTAGATAGACTTAACTTTGATAGTACTAAAATACACAGAGAGCCGAAGAAGCAGCGCAACGCACTATATATGATCATTGAGTATCAACTATTTCGAACCAAAATAGGGAAAGTCAAACTTCACAAATCCGCATTAATGTATATCAATGACATAAATTTTATTTTTTGTGAACTAGTGTTTGGGTGCATGAATGCATGTGTGATATCATTCCAAAATACGTAAAATACGTTACAGATATACGAGAAATAAGTTACAGTGATGCAATAAAAACTTATCTAATCATGTACGCAGTATCAATGTAAAAGACATTCCATTTTTTTTTATTAAGCAGCAAGTATACGTCATGTTTTATTTAAAGATGAATAGAGAACTTTTTTGTAACCCATTCTTTTTCAATTCTAGATCGCACCAGATTAGATCAAGTCAGATTATATCAGATCAGATTAGACAGGCAAGACTTTGATAGTACAAAAGTACATAGAGAACCGAAGAAGCAATGCAATGCACTCTCATCCTAATTAAGGATGTTGGCATTATGTTGACGAATACTATAATAAGTTATAGAAAAATATTCCAAAAAAAATGACTTTACTCGTATGTGGCTAGGCCGGATTACATTTCTTCGTCCGGCCAGGGATGTATTATCATCCTTGTATCTTCTAGAAAAGGATGAGAATTAATTGTTGATCAAAACAATTGGTAAATAAAGATTTACACTTGATTCAAAATGATTATATTCTTTAGTTATCAATTATTAATAGGGAACGTTTCTTTCTATGGATATGCCTATATATTTGGACAATATAGAATCAAAGGTGTAAACATAGTATAGTGCACATTAATTATTTGGATCACTTGACATTAAGAATTAACCTTGCATATATATATATATATATATATATATATATATATATATATATATATATATATATATATATATATATATATATATATATATATATATATATATATATATATATATATATACACGTTCATACAAATCTACAAAGAGATGTTTGGCTCGAAATGGCGCCTCCTAACGTTGTTTTTTCCTCTGTTTTTTGTATTATTATGTTCATATTGCTGACGGCTGCCAGTGGTAAAAACCACCATTTGCCACCCAAAAATTTTAATGTCTTGGACTATGGTGCCGTTGCTGATGGAGAGTCAGAAAATAGCCCGGTAAATAATTCAGTCTTGCTCTGAAAATATCAATTTCTTGGGCCAATTTAACCCTACTATATACCCCTATGTTGCTTTTCAGTTGAAACGGTCAACATTTCACATTTGTCAACGCACGTCTTTGACCGTAATTATATCTTAATTCTATTAGAAAAAAATATTAAAAATCCGATTTTGAAAATTTGTAATGAGATGAATTGAACAATATTTTTAAAAAAATAATTTTCATAAAATAATAGCGTACAATGTAGTCAAACTAGGACATACGAATTATGTAAAATTCAACATGTCGCGATAATATATGAATTTATAGCTTGTTGTTTTGGGTTTTTAATTTAGGCGTTTTTGAGGGCATGGGAGGAAGGTTGTGGATACCCAGGAAAGAGTAGGGTTATTGTCCCAAAAGGGACATTCAAGATTTGGTCAACGACATTCGTGGGGCCATGTAAGGGACCCATCACGTTTGTGATCAAAGGAATTCTCAAAGCTCCGACGCATCCGTCGGAGTTCCAGTCGGACACGTGGCTAGGGTTCCGATATGTGGATCGGCTGTCGGTGAAAGGTGGTGGCTATTTGGAAGGGCAAGGCCACGCCGCTTGGTCCTATAATGACTGCTCTACGAATCCCAACTGCTCTCCTCTTCCAGTCGTAAGATTTATTCATGCTTGTTTTCCTATTTCTTTGTTTTATACGAAGTAGATGGGAACCTTTAAAACTTTTATACTTTTATAAAGATTATTTAATAAAGAATATGTTTATTTAATGTTCATATTTTAAATAATTGTTTTTGTAATAAAAAATATCATTGGCTAAACTTGATTATAATTGATCAAGAAACTAATTGTTTTAGGATAAAGGGAGTATATATATATATATATATATATATATATATATATATATATATATATATATATATATATATTAAATGGTAGGATTTTACTTGTATTCTTTATTGTTTATTCCTATTATATGCTCTTAGTCAATGCCCATTATTACACAGAATATATTGTGTGCTTGGATAAGCTACGTAGATAGTGATTATGTACATATACCATGTGTAAACGTTTTAATAAGGCAAGGAAATTCCTACCATTTAATATATGCACAACAATAGAATGTAAAATATAAGGAAAGTCCTAACAATTACCGACATACTCCGTATTACGTACATAGTATACGATTAGAATATAAATGATATACGGAGTGCAAATTAAAATTGTGACCTCTTATAAATGTGACCATATTTGCAACTCTCAATTTATTGATTATGCTTAATTTTACACTAGTGACATTGTTATTAATTACTCATATTTTTCATAAACTTTATTCAGTAATATTTAAAAATCGTTGTTGTTTGCACTTCTTTTTTAAAATTATTAATACGTCTATCATGTTTAGTATAAAATTATTTGATTTTGCATCGCATTGTTTTCACAATTCCTAAAATCTTGGGAGTATACATTAATTAACTCGATAAATGACGAATAAAATCAAATATACTCCCTCCGTCCCTAAGTAGTAAAAGCATCAATTTCCTTTTCGGGTTGTCCCTAAATAAAAGTTCTCTTTCCTTTTTGGCAAATAAAACAGTGCAAAACAGTGTAAAACAGTGTCAAACAGTGTCCAAACAGTGCCAAATAGTACCAAACAATCCCACTTTCTTAAAATGTGTGGAAAACAAATGGATACTTTTACTCCCTCCGTCTCAATTTGATTTGCAAAATTTCCTATTTTGGTTGTCCTAAAATGGTTTTTCACTTTCTATTTTAGGTATGTAAATAAGAATAAAATGACAAATTTATCCTTACTCTTCCTTTTTTTCATTAACTTAAAAGTATCAACTTTTAGGAAAATGGACAAAAGTGTAAAAAACAGACATCATTTATTTCAATTTCTTAATCTCTGTGTCGGTTAAAGTTTGCAATTCAATTCGGGACGGAGGGAGTAACACCGGAGTGTAGGATCAAATTCTCCCATTTGTAAACTATCCCCACCAATACAAATGATTGTCAAAAACATTAGTTTACGTGCATGCATATATTCATTTTTGTGCTTGTCTAATTTGTTTTTGTACTTTTTAAGTCTTTAAGGTTTGACTTCGTGACCAACTCAAGAATTAACCACTTGAGATCAATAAATAGCAAGAACACCCACATCTCCTTGTTCGCCTGCGACAAAATACGCATCTCCCGCGTGAGGATAACGGCACCGGAGAACAGCCCAAACACCGACGGAATCCGGATCGGAGAGTCGACGGACGTCAAGATAACCGAGTCCGTCATCCAAACCGGCGACGACTGCGTCTCCATCATCACCGGAAGTCAAAACATCCTCGTCCAGGATGTGACGTGCGGTCCCGGCCACGGCATTAGCATCGGCAGCCTCGGAAAATCCCGGGGAGACTTTGTTTCCGACGTTAAAGTCACGAATTGCACTTTCATCGGCACCCAGAATGGTGTGAGGATCAAAACATGGGCGACTGACTCTCTTTCCAGCTCTGTTTCCAACATATTTTTTGGGTACATTGCCATGCAAAATGTCAACAATCCTATTGTCATTGACCAAATATACTGCCCCAACATGCTCCCTGCTTGCGCCACTTTGGTAAGTCAACATATTATTTCTCTCCTAATGTCATTATTTTGACCAGTTTTTGAAGAAAATTATTTTTTTAGCATTTTATATGTGTGGAAAAACTTGTTTTTTATTTTATTTTAAAGAAGGTTGACATTACATAATAAAAAAAGATGTTTTCTTTTGACCTGTTTTCAGTCTGAGATCAGATCACATCAGACCAGAATTTCATAGTTATAAAATACACAGACACCAGACATTTATCAGATCAGACCAAATCAGACAAGAACAGACCAAACAGACCAGCAAATTTCATTCCAATAGAAAACATCCAAAGTGTGAGCAAAGAATTAAGGATACAAATACAAAGGGCTCTATTTATTAATTAATATTAAGGATAGAGATGCATTATTTTAATTTCCTACATTTTTAGCTAGTGACTTTCACTTATTTGATATTGAAAAACTCTACTTGTCAGGGCATCCTCATTGGGAGGATTATTACAAGATTAAATTGGTGACATGCCAGTTTTTAGAGAATTATCAATGAGTGACATAGATTATTTAATAGGATTATTTGCTACAATAATTTGGGATCAAAATATGAATCCAGATTATTTTAAGATTATTTGAAAAGTATATTTAATAGAGATAAATGCGGGACAGAGAAAAAACAGATTATTTGAAGATGATGATTGAGAGACATAAACGAATTTTGAGATTATTTTATAATTAATTACATAACAATATTTAAATGGTAAGAATCATATAAAAATTGATTATTAGAGATCATGAATGGAGATGCTCTCATCATTCAACCGGTCAATGACACAGAAATTGGTAAGCAGGTAGTACATTTTTTAAGAACGCGGGTAATCAGAATTTGTAGGTGAAATGAATAACTAGAATTAATTACGGAGTATTTGAAATAGAAATGTACATTTTCTAAAATACTTTCCTTAATAGGTAGTACAATTTACGTTCAAAAACTATAGCACCAATTTGCTATTCACTAGTGAACGCAATTAACTTTCGAGCTGTGATTTCCATCCCAATTTTTTTTCCGAAGTCAACATTTTTATTAATAAATGTTAAAGTTAAATACTTAGTATTGATAATTAATTCAATTTTAATAGTTAAAATTTACATATTCATAAACTACAATAAAATCTCTATAAAATTTTAAAATCAAGTTAAAACTTAATTAAGAATTGATATTATGAATAAGTGAATAAAATGAATCTATTTGACTCATAAAGTCAATTTTGTAGCTCAATTCAGGACAGGAAGTATGGGAGATGAATAATATACAAATTTAACTATGCTATTTAACAAAACTTCTGGTTCAATTTCTGAACGCATAAAATTACTTTTAGTTCAAATTACAACTTTATTGGGAAGCAGTTAACTTTTTCACCTGTCAAACCTCAAAATCCTCATTAGGAACATCCTTTTTGGGTTGATAGACAATTTACAAATTTAAATAAATTTAAAGTTACCAAATTGAATCAATGACATATTCGGACTCACCTTTGCAAGAGCATGGATAATAAAATGCCGTCAAGAAAATGTTATTAATACGATCTTGTTGTACTTAATTAATTAATTGTAAGCCAAATTTAGTTTTTCGTTTTGCAATGTGTCCGCATGGGATATAATTTAGATAGTGTTTTTTTTATGAAGGATCTAGCTTAGATAGCTAAAACACTTAATATGCTTCATTTTAAGTTTCAATTCTTGTATCAAACAAAAATAAAAAATGTTAACCATCGGGAGAATTCCCTAAATAGGAGTAAAAAGTTTTTTAATTCCAAAATAGGAGTATCATGTTTTTTATTCCTTAAATAGGAGTAAATTTCTATCAAGTTTGACATTACTAGGCTTTAAAACATGACTTTTTTCTAAACCTGACAGATTATTAGAATTTCAAAACGTTTTTGCTCCTATTTAGAGCAATTTCTATTAACCATTAAATACACTAAATAATTAATTTAATTTTTCCGGATACACGTAGTTCGTGGTTTATATCACCCATATCTTTTTGGAATAATGATTGGTCTATTTTTGGAAATGTGGCGATAGGGAAAATCTTTGTCAAAAGTACAAATAGAAGACGTGACATTTTACAACATTTGGGGAACATCGGCTTCAAAGGCGGCAATAGCGTTGAAATGCAGCGCAATAGTGCCATGTCGGAATATCATTCTCAATAAAATCAATTTGCGTTACCATGGCCGAGGTGGACCTGCCATTGCAGACTGTTCAAATGTGGAGGGAAGATCTTATGGAACCCAACTCCCCAATGGTTGTTTTTAGATCCACCGTTTGAGAGATGGAGTATCGTCCTTTTTAGATCTAACTGTTTGATCTGTTCTGGGGTTGCACATGAATGAAATGTCATCTTTTTTAGACCCACGATCTTAACATTATTTCTTGATCATTTCAAGGGATGCTTATACCGTACCCGGCTACACAGTGAGAACCGTACAATCGGTGACATTTTTGTAATTTAAGTTAAATTCACGTCTTCTGCTAAATGAGCATTAATGCACTTTTAGTGAGTATAAGACATATTTTGTTGAGCATTAGAAGCCTAAAAATGAGCATCACGATCTCTGCTTTATATCTTCGAATTCACTTTCATTTTCTTATTTTTTTTCTTTAATAAAAACTTATTAAATTATATCTACAATCAACTCCTATAAACTTCAAACGTGAAACTAATGTAATATGACATTGTTGAAATATGCATTGATATGACATTTTAAAACTGAGCATAGGTAACTTACGAAATGAGCATTGATATAAAAATCATAAGTTTTTTAGTTGAGCTTCAAGACATTTTCATTGAGTATCATGTTAAAAGTCTCACACCTGATATATCTGAAGGAATTAAACACTATTTTAAGATTTGAGCTACTCCTTCTATCAAGTTAACCTTTTAGGATAGAACCCAGATCTTCACATGGTATCGGAGTCAAATCAATCAATAACCATGGTGTGGCCCCCTATGGAAAATGATGACACGATTATAAAAATGACAATGATGACCGATGAAAAATGAATGACGGCATGATCCAGATGAAGTGTCCGGTCGTGAGAAGTGGTGTTAAAAGTCCCACACCGGATATCTCTGAAAGAATTAAACACTATATTAAGATCTTAATTACTCCTCATATCATGATGGAACCCTAGATCTTAACATGGTATCAGAGTAAAACCAGTTCATAATCTTGGTGTGGGGCCCCTATAAAAAATGACGACACGGTTATATAAAAAATGACTATGACGAACCCATGGAAAAATGAATGATGGCATGATCTAGACGAAGTGTCTGGTCATGAGGAGGGGTGTTGTTTTCCCACACCGAATATCTCTAAAACACTTAAACATTATATCAAGATCTTGAGTCACTCCTCCTATTAGGTTCACTTTTTAAGATGAAACCTCGGGTCTTAACGCACAGAGAAACAAATAAATGAATCTGAGGGCGGTTTGAAATTGAAAGAAAGTGTTTTATTTATTGACCGCATATGTAAAATTCAAGCCTCTTGCTGCATTTCGAGTGACCAAAGTAATGATTAAAAAAGTTTTTTTTTAAAAAAAACTAATAGAAAAAAATCAAAAACTAAAAATTAGTGATAACCGATGTTGAAGCCTTTCAATCTCTCATATCCAAGATTTCAAGATCTGGAATGTATTTTTGTTAATTCAGAAAATAGAGAATAAACAAAATAAATGATGAGAAGAAACAAAAGAATTTGGGGAGCAAAAACCGAGGACCCGTGGAGGAGAAGAAGAAGAGAAGAAGAAGAAGAAGAGAAGAAGAGAGGAGGAGGAAGAATAATAATATCCAATCATACCTGGACGCCGTTCACCGTCGTTCGCCGCTCACCGTCGTTCGCCGCTCACCGCCGTTCGCCACTCACCGCCGTTCGCCGCTCACTAGTGGCCGGAAATGGAAATAAATTCATCATCCTTACCTCAAAAAATGGCCAGAGTTGAAGGAAATCAAGATCTTAAAAATAAAATCGAAACTATTACAGAAAAGGAGAGAATAAAAGGATGTCTCATATATGGATTTAAGGATGATAGATGCAGCGGGTAGATGCAAGAGAAGAAAGGAGATGGAGAGAAAAGAAAATCATATGCGATGGAGAGGAGAGATCGAGGAGATGGGGTGAGAAAAGAAAGTCTGGAAGGAGGCGTACGACTTAGGAGAGATGGATATAATTGGAAGATTAATTAAAATACTCGTGTTTAGGGAATAAATTAGGGAGTAGTCCTATTTAGGAAATTTCCTATTATTTTAGTCCTATTTAGGGCAAATACTTATTAAATAAATAATCATGCATTTAAATCCTCAAGAACAAACCTTAGATCATGATTAATAAGCATTCATCAATCTCAAATCCCTAATTAAAATTACACCCAATTCATAATTGACGGATCAACAGATCAAATTGATAAAGAGAATTAATTGTCATTAATTAAAAAGATAAAACTTACAAAATACTATCGTGATCTTGAATATCGAAAGTCGAAACTACTGAAATAGTCCTCATATAAAATCGTCATCCAAAACTTACAAAAACCCATATATGTCCGAATACAGTTACAAGCTTTCTAACTAACTAAAAATAGGTGTTTACACCATGTGTAGATAGAAAACAGATCAAGTTAAGACCGAATAAGGATAGATGGAGCGCACGCACTAGAAGACATTTAACACACTAGAAACTTAGGGTGGGGTTGAGAGTTGATTTTTGGAGGGAAGGGGAAGACATGTGAGGAAATTTTTTGGAGGTGTTATAAAATCCTTCTAAACTCTTCAAAACTTCGCTTTTTTAATTCACCCGATTTGAGGGTTTTCTAAAATCTAGCTACACAAATGAGAGATTTATCATTTGAAACTAATAACGCTTCCGTATAAAATCTTTAGGAGCTGCTACTTGCTTCATTTATCCTTCACTGAAACCCCTCAAGTTTCTAAACTCTCCTCTTTTGAAATTTGCAACTCCCAAAGAAGAGGAGGGAATCCCTTCCCATCTTCCTCCCATTCCATTCTTTCTACTCCCTTTCAAATCCTTCCCCTTCCCTCACCTTCAAACTCCCAAATACACCCTTAAATAAAAGCTTTTTCAATGGTTTCATATTGATATTGAAGAAAAATACAATGCATCTCATTGCTATTTTTAATTAAACATCATATCAGAATCTGTTAAGCGTAGGAAAAATAGGTATAATAACAAGTTATATTGAATAATTATTATAGAGAAGTTACAAATTTTCTTCTATGACTATGAGAAATGAAATTAATTAAGAACATCAAGGAAAGTCTAGGCCAGCTAGTATCATTTCTCTCTAATAATAATTTCTTACGAGTACTATCTAGCTAGCACGCTCTATGGTTTTGACAAGTTCTTGGCTGGTGCCCAACTATAGACCTCGACAGGGTGTAAAGCACCACCACCAGTAATCAGATTCTGCGGCAACCCATATATGTCGGAAACCTCCATATTCTGGTGGCCGCCGCCGTTTTGGTGGTGGTGGTATTGCTGCTGGTGGTTGGCCGCCGAAATGACCTGTTGCTCATCATCAAGCAACGGCAGCCTGTCGTAAGTGGCATTCAAGAAAGTCGCGGCCATGATCACGACCGGACCGGAGGCGATAAGCGCACCGACCACGCACCCTCCCACCACCTGTCCCTGCGCTCCGGCGAGGTATATGCTCAACCCTGTCACCCCCGGTGGGGCCGGAGGTGGCAGAATCGAGCCGAGCAGAGATAGGATCTCGAACCTCCCGTGGAGGGTCACGATTGACCCGGAGGACGCCGGTTGACGCAACGTCACGTTGGTAACGCACCCCGTCGCGCTCAGGACGGACACTCCCCGTTGCTTTCTCCGAGCAAAGCTCAGGAGGCTCTCGTTGATGTCGCAGCCGGAGCTGACCTCCATCGCGTGCGCTTTAAGCGCGTTGGCACTGTCGCGCGTGATGATAATTGGCGGCTTCGGCTTGTTCTTCGACCCGGCCGGCCTGCCACGTGGACGCCTCATGGCTTCTGGTGGTACTGGCATTGCTTTACCTAATTTACCAGTGGGGACTAGTTCTTGATTCTCATGATTCACCCTGTCAGTTCCAGCCATTTTTCTTCTTGATTTTGTCTTCTTAATGTGTTGAGGAAAGTAGAGTCAATGCCGATTTTGTCTCCAAAATCTGGGGTTAAGTAGGGGACTTTTTTAGATTTGTGATTATAATTAATGAAAAAACATAGATGAAAGGTTGTAGATTAGGAGATTGTTAAGTGGCAACAACTTCAAGTATTGATTGTTGTAATTGTTAAGTATAGCTTACGAATATTGCTCCTCATCCTAACTCTTAACAAATCTTGCTTTCATGTTAATTGCCTTCATCTATAGATAATCATTAAATCATCACTAATTTAGAAATATCTAATTAAAGACATGTTTGATGATCAAAAAAAAATTAAAGACATGTTTAATTTTTTTTTATATATCTAGGATATGTATATATCCAGCTACATTTGGCAGGTCCAACAAGTCCAGTAGTCAACGTACTTCAATTACTCGCTCCGTTCCTATTTTATTTTCCAAATAGGTTTGACATACAATTTATGATAGTGAGTATTGTGTGGTAGAGAGTTGTACAGATGAGAGAGAAATGTGTAAGAAATGTTGTGAACCACAAATTCTTTACTAAAAAGGGAAAGTGGAAGTTTTAATTGGAACGAACGAAAAAAGAAAGTTTTAATTGGAGGGAGTATCATATTACGTGTCAGTATTGGTTCTTGATCATTTAACAAGCCCCTACATAATGTAAGTATGAAAATTTTAGAAACCCATTGTCCATATGACCATATCAGAACATTTGTTTATTTATGTGTAAAAATGTAAACATTAAAAGTATTTTTCGTTTTTGAGTGATTATTATTGTCGAAATTTTAAGTTAAAAAAATGTTCCTACGAATTCTAAGTAGGGTCGTCGTGCGGGCCGAGGATATGTGTAGTAAATGCTATTCTCTCAGTCTTGTTTTGATCCAGTTTTATTACCTACGGCACAAAAAAAAAATTCAAGGAAGCTAGAGGCTCAACAAAAGCTGAGTGGCAAAAAAATCATAACAGATAAAATCTCATAAGCATGCTTCGAGAAATTCCACATGCAATTGCTTACATAATTATATTATCACAGTTCAAATAATTCTAGATGCGATATACTATGTATGACAGTATAAAAGAACTCCCAAAAATGAAATAAACATAACTTATCGGAGCTTAAGTGCTTAACACATAACTGGACAAAGCATAGCAAGTCCCTACTGAGTGTGACAGAACGGAACAGATCATAACATAACATAGCAGATCAAAACGAAATTGATAACAAGATATTACTTTCAATGTTTTTGTACTACTTATTTTTATTTTACAAGTAGGTTTGGTTTGAGTATTTTGATTTATGGAGTACTTTTGACAGGCAATATTTCAGTTCCGGTTGTTTTAGGCTTAAATTTGCCCGTTTTGTGTCTAGGGAATTAAGTTGATTTGTATGAGGTGATTGTTGGGTGTGTTTCAAAAAACAAAGAAAATAATTAATAAAAGATAAGAGCATTGAGCATTAATTGTTGTAACGGCTTGGAACAGTTCTGGTGCGCGACCAGAATACCCCCTGCAGAAGAGGAGCAGTTCTGGTGCGACTTGAGGTCTTCTGTTCCGAACAGAAGAGGAGCAGTTCTGGTGCGAACAGAACTCGAGCACTTCTGTTCCGGACAGAAGCGGAGCACCTCTGGTTGCAAACAGGACTCGAGCACATCTGTTCCGGACAGAAGTGGAGCACTTCTGGCCCTGGGAAAATTAAAATGTTACGGGAAGAAATAAAATCTAAATTGTATCTTTGAATGATAGATTTTTGGACAACATTCGGGTTCGCATGTCACCCACGCACACGAGTCGCGGTTTTTCTTCTCTGTTTTCACAATTTGATCGACACCCCGTGCGCGTGAAGAGAGCCTTTCCTCTAAGGAATCTTAACTCCTTCTAGGTGGGTTCCCTTTATAAAGGTGTGAAAATCTCTTGGGTTTTCTGGTGTGGGATAAATCATACTAGAAACTCATCCTTTTTCTCAATTTTTCCGTTTTAATGAGTGAACTTCAAGAATCAATTTCTCATTCAATTGTTATCTGTTTTGAGTGTACAACATGTCGAATTGTAGCCCTTAACAAGGACAATCCGAAACCACTTTGACCCGACCCAAATCGGGGAGTGGAACTCACTCAAATAATTGCTCCAAAATGACCATTTAATGCAATTTTTAACACATTTTTCCAACACTGATTAATTTTATATATGTGTGTTCCTAGACCTTATACGTCTGGAGATTATTTTGTATTACGTATGATTTTTCGATATTAATGTAAAATGACGCTCATTTTTAGGAAAGGACGAAGGAACAATGGACCAAGGTTCGAAATCCCGCAGCGATCGGGTGGAGGTCACAGTACCTGAAATAAGGCTGAACCTCTGGTGCGCACGGGTGTATGGATACTCACATTCTGCTGACTGAGTCAACGTGACTAACCTCCCCACCATCGTGTCGGGTCGGGGTGAGGACCCCTGGGGTGGGAAGGAAAGGACGAAGGAAATTTGGCAATGCACAAAAGGCCCCCTCCACCATTTCGTGACCACATCATTGCCTATTCTTCTACGAGTACAAGTTTTAGCCACATCGTTGAGCTGGGAGATTATTAATGACCTTTTTTGCTGGTCCAGTATCATCCATGATTTGATCGTGTTCGAACATGGCAGATAAGGCAGAAATCTATCATCTCCTCCGCCCTCTCCGACCACCGACGGTGCCGGAAACGATCCGTGAAGACCAATACGACTTCAACGTCAGCAGCAGCTTCACGTTCCACGGGATTCTCTTCATCGCATTCATAGCTCTTCTCTCCCTTTGGGCAAACCATGAAGCTGCCAAGGGGTTCTCCATTTCCGTCATCAACGACGCCGGAGACACGGCCGCCGGAAAACGCTTTGACCTCTTCTATGTGTCAAACGATCACGCCACCCGATTAATCCTTGAAAGAAGCAAGTTTGTGGAAGATATAATATCCCACACTCATACTACATGTCATCGTCTTCAACCAAAGAAGGACAAAATCAAGAACGTCATCCTCCGGCTATCGAGCCGGAACTTAACGCGTCCGGCGATGATCGAGTCCGGCGAACAGGGAATATTCGTTATTAATCTAAGTCCTTCAGTTATGGCCGACAAAAACTTTAAGCATGCAACGTTTTTAGCAGTGCAACGTGGCATGGCACTAATATGGCTATGGGAAAGTCAACGAGACGACGACCAGACCAGTCTTGTAAGTAGAATTGCTGATTATGTGACTAGTGTAGCCATTTCTGGTGGAGCGAAGTCTTCGCCAGAATTATGTGGTTACTGGAAAGGTTAAGTAGTAAAGATTCATGATTGTTGGCACAATTTTTAATAAAGTGGTCGAAAAAATAAAAGTTGTGGTTGAAATTTAAGTATAATATAATTTAATGTTGTAGATCACATATTTATTTCCATAAAAAAGAAATATTACACTTATTTTGGGATACTTCAAAAAAGAAAGTAGGACAGGTAAAATGAGGCGGAAGGAGTACTAAATTATTATTAAAACATGATTTAGTTACTCACTTATTTTGGGAAGTTATTGAAAGTAATAAAGCACATTCAAACATATTTCACTACAAAAAAACACGGGATTGACAGAGATTTTTCACGGAAATTTTCAAATTTGGAAGGGATTTTGGCAATGATATGTCAAATCCGTGGTAAAAACAGTTTGGATTGAACTATTTGGCACGAAAATATCAAAAGAATCATGCTAAGTCCGTGCAAATCCCCTAATTTTTTTAGTGATGTAATCTATTCTTGAACTTAATGTAGGATCCTTAAATTATCTTTCAATGTACATTTTGCACTGGAAAAGAATAAATTTTAAACCATTGTCACAATCTCTAAATTTTCATCCCAATAATCAATTTAAATGTTTAATATGGACACGAAAACATGATTGAAAGAAGGAGAAGGTGATAGATGGGGACGCCAGCTTGGATTGGATCATACGTGATGCTTCTTCCATTCACCGATTGTATGTATTATATCACTTGGTGAGTCCCTACTTTGTCTAATCTGTCCATTCAAGTGTGTTATCGGCACTCTTTTATATTGTGTATGTTTTTTATTATTATGTGGTTCACTTCAATTTGGTTTTTGAATTTGTTGTGGTTCGAATTGTTTGAATCATTTTGGTATGATCCCATTTACTCCATATTAAGTTTTGGCTGATTACATCAATATGTTTAAGGACACTTTTACTTGGACTCTAAATTACTGGTATGATCTGTTTAATTTAAGTCTGATCTGGTTTAGTCTGCTGTAAACAGTTTAAGTAAAAACATCCTAAATCTTAGTTTAGTGTTCTCAATTTTTATAAGTGAATCATATTCATCTTAGCTTCAATAATAATTAGCACCAAATAATAATACTGAATATTTTTACAAAACATATACTTGTATAAATGGAATTCAAGTCTCTTTAAATAGGATGCGTAAAGCGATTTTAAAGTTGTGCGGCTCCATTTCTGATTTTCTGCATCTGTAGAACAAAACTCCAATTTACCAATAAGTACAAGTCCAGGGCGCAGTCAGGATGTAGCAAGAGTGGTGTCAAAGTAAGAGTATGTTAGGTGATCCGTTTTTCGGCTTATAAACCAATTTTTTCATTAAAAACATAACTTTTAATTTTGCACGTTAAATTGTGCAATAATACAAATAAGTACAACTACAGTGTTCTCGATGTGTTATATAGAATGTCCCTTATACCACTTTTTTAGTGTTTGGAGTAATATCAAAAGTAGAAGTAAAATAATGTAGAAGTGTAAAAATAACAATAAAACGAATTGCCCATTTCTGTCATTAATGACGGCATGTAGGGATGGATCCAAAAAATAGAAAACTGAAAACCGAATCAAAATAAATTGAAACATAACCAAATAAAACGGAACCACTAAAAAGTTAAAATCTAATGTTAAAAATCAAACCGAACCGTAGTTATTTGGTTTGATTTTGGTTTTTACCCATCAAAACCGAAACGAGCCAAATAAACCGAACTAATTAAAATATGAACTTTTAATTGTTAATTATTATGAATTAATCCTAATATCATCGATAATCTTAGGTTTTCTTGTGCTAGAAAATGAATTTTTGTGTTATGTTTAGTTTAGTTTATTAATGCATTTACACATTCATTATCTATAATAATATACGGAGTATCTATATACAGTATGTTCCTACACATCTCCAGCTAGCGGATATATTTACTAAAAGTTTATCCAGTCAGCAATTTCATTTGTTAAAGGACAACCCGCGCGTTGTATCTCCCGCACGGCTTGAGGGGTGTAATAGTTTATATTAATTAGGAATATTTATGTATTTTGGCAACTGATATTTTATTATAAATATACCTGCCAGGGCTCCTATTGGAGCACGGTTTTCCCATTATTTCCACAGTTTATTCCTCCGACTCCAAAGGCCCAACACCTTCCTTTGGGTTTTCGACGGATATGTAAGTGGATTAAATGTATCAAGAGGCACAAGCAAATGGCAATAGAAAGAAGAGACGGTAAGTGGGCCGAGTTCTTATTAGTGTTGAAGATTATTCCTCCGACTCCAAAGATCCTACACCTTACTTTGGGGTTTCGACGAATATGTAAGTGGACTAAATATATCAAGAGACACAAGCAAATGGAAATAGAAAGAAGAGACATTGATGGATAATTGATACCAATATCCTATAATTTAGGAGATATTGAACAAGAAGGAGAAAGAGATAGTAGTGTATTATGAGTGAGTTTGTGACCTATGTTTACAAGCCTCCTATAAGGAGTATATATAGAGAAATCCGGATTTGGGCATCTAATATGGGCCGAACAGACCCGGTTACATTAATGGACTAATAATATAAAAGCTAATCTAGTACATACAATGAATATGTAAACTATACAGTAATATAAATATTATTTGTTGGTGTATGTGAATCTCTATCCAGGCCTAATAGTCGGCAGGCCGGGGGGTCGGGGTCCATATACTCCATCAAGAGTCCCCCACTCCGTGAGCCGAGAGTACTTGAGGTGAAATGGAGTAGTCTACAATTGTATCTGCAACGTTCTTTTGTCTTTGGTTTCTTCCTCTTCGGCCAGAGGACCACCACCCTCGTCCATAATGGGGAGGTGCCTCGTTAAAAACCTTTATTAGGAAAAAACCCAGTGGGAAAAAATCCTAATAAAGAGAAAAAGAGTACACCTAGCGCCCCCAACATGAAACAAGGAAGGTAAGTTCCCTCCGGCATAATCAATTTTGCCTAGCTCAGCTCCTCTTCATCCGACTCAGCTTTCGTTCCTGTTCATGCGTGATATTTTCTGCTCATCTAGAAACTCTGACCCCTCAGTCTCCCAGTCCTTGAGGCGAGTGGAGACGAGGTGAAAATGAGTAAAGTCATCTTCGTACCTACACATTTAACATACATATACATTTTTTCTTGGGGTTTATGTTTATGTACGGAAGTTCGTCACTTGAAAAAAGTGGTAATGTGAATTGCTAATGTAATGATAAAATACTTAGTAGAGTGAATGTATGAGCCATTCGTAAGCAACGGTCGCCACCCGATGAATGACTTAGACCGGTTTTCGTGCCTGACTTGGTCATGGCTTTGTTCCTGAGCTGGGTGAGGGCTTTGTGCTTGATCTGGGTCAGGGCTTTGTGCCTGATCTGGGTCAGTGCTTTAAATCCTAGTGATGGGTCTCAAGTCACAATCTACTAGACATTTGAGCATAATTGTGAGATAGTTTGACATTCGCCCGACTAAAAGAAATGATTTAAATAAATATAAATAATATGCAAATTAAAGAGTACTTATCTTTTGATGGGCTGAAATATATTGGACTGATTTCTTTGGGCTCATTCTAATTTGTGAAAAACGACAGCCATGTTGTTGATTAGTGCTGCCTGGCCCATATTTTGACCTAGCTGATGATATATCATTGACTTTTGATCAGATCCGCCTCCATCTAGCGTCAACTCCTGCTAAAGCTCCTGTCAGCTTTCCGGTCCGGCGGGTTGGATCTTGCCTGCGACCGGAACCCAAGAGAGTAGCACACCACTACGCACTGTAGCCTAGAGCAGGTCACAGCCACAAAGGAAGATGACGGCGACGCCCTCTTAGGCAGTACCACCGGCGGAGTTCCCTAACGTTGAGACCGGCGTGTTCCTCTGACCACCCCAGGGCCAAATACAAACTGACCGCAAGAGACGTCGTTGTGAATCCGGCAGCGGTGGAAAGCTCTCTCTAGCAGCGAGGAGGAACGAATTTGAGTCAGCGGGTGCGCCGATTACACGATATGTCACTCCTGAAGCACTTAGCGGCCATTAATGGTGGATAATTAAGGTTATGCTTGAGCAACTTAGTGAAATGACTGCAAAGACGGTAACTGTGGACCAGGTTCCGATCGTCAGACCTTGAAGGAGACCAGCGCTGGCGTGGAACCACCAGGAGCAACATCGGCAGGGTTGTGACGAAGGAGGTTGTGCTTGTCGCTGCGGTCTGCAGAGGACTGAACATGCAGCTACGGTAAGTCCTGGGGACGGGTGGTGAGCTCCAGTAGGTGGCAAGCCACTAGTACTGGCGTGTGGCAGCGATAACTGGAGCCTGAAGCACATCGGTGGTGTTGAAGGTGGACGTAGATCATAGGTTTCCCGATTTTCTTCTCGTGGTTGACATTTCCAGATCTGTTTTTTGCTGTTTGCGATTTTTGGTGGATTTTATTATTGTTTTTGGGAGGTTTTCTCACTTGATTGTGTTCAAACCTCTCAATGAGTGCACCATTTGATGGATAATCGATACTCATATCCTATAATTTAGGAGAGATTGAACAAGAAGGAGAAAGAGATAGTAGTGTATTACTCCCACCGTCCCAAATAGAACTTAACGTTTGCTTTTGGCACAGTATTTTATGAGCTCAATTAATAGAAGAATAAATGTCTTGCATACCCTTTAACTTTTGGGGGATTTAATGTTATCCACTCAAATGTAAAAAGTTGGTGGATAGTGAAGGATAGTTAAGACATTTAATATAACAGGAGTTGCCTAAAAAGGAAATGTAAAGGAATAAATGGGACATCTCAAAAAGGAAAGTGTAAAGATTTAAATGGGACGGAGGGAGTATGAGTGAGTTTGTGACCTATGTTTACAAGCCTCCTATAAAGACTATATATAGGGAAATCCAGATTCGGGCCTCTAATATGGCCGAACAGACCCGGTTACATAAATGGACTAATAGTATAAAAGTTAATCTAGTACATACAATGAATATGTTAACTATACAATAATATAAATATTGTCTACTACTGTACGTGAATCGCTGTCTAGGCCTAGTAGTCGGCACACTGGGGTGTCGGGGTCCATATACTCCATCAGACATTAAGTGAGTCGAACTCTTATTAAATGGGTCATGAACAATTACAACACACCCTACTGGATCTGAGCCGAACGTTTACTCAGATCTAAGAATACAAGGGAGTAAAAGCTATAGCTACCCAAGCAAGCACAAAGGCAAGGGATGCCGCATGAGCCATGCTGGGCATCCCCACCGAGGCCCCCAAATGGCTGTGATGTGAGTTTTCTCGCACTTAAAATAGATCGTAATATAGTGGTGTAAGTACGAGTATCGTCTCCACAGGGACGGACAAAAGGGAATCAAGAATTAATTAAATTCAGCGATTAAAAATAAATAAAATAAATGCGTCGTGCGAGATTGATTGATTGGGAAAATTAAATTGCGAATAAAGAAATTAAACTAATGGGTTCTTTCTTAATTAATGACGAAGGGAACATGGATTGATTCCGGGGTAATCAGATTTCTAGCAGATCAGGCTTAATCGCATGAAATTAATTTAATTGAGTCTAGCTAATCATTACTAAGTTCTTACCGCTCTCGCGGCGTAGTGTACAATAATTTAGGGGACCAGGCTGATCTCTCATGCGACAGGATCCTAAATTATTGCCAAGACGAGCGAGCTTACGGCCCCTTAATTTAAGTGTGTGTGAATGTGTCTTAGAATAAACTAGCTAGATCTCTCTTAATTTATTCTACAAGCAATTGTAATTCTAGCGGCCGTTCTAGGTTACAAGAGATATCGGTTAAATTATTCAAACACAAATTAAATGACATTCATGCAATTAATCCATCAAGAATCTAGCCATACATCATGCTTAACCCCTTCATCAATCCTAAATCCCCAATTAAAACTACTCACAACTCATAATTGAAGAATCAACGGAATAAGGAAGAATAAAATTAATTGTCATTAATTAAAAAGATGAAACTTACAAAGAATCCCAAAAGATTGATGAACATGGCTGAAAAGCTCTCTAAATTTCGTGCTAGACACTCTCTCTAAGCTCTCTCTCAAAACAGGGGTTTACAGACGGTTTAAATAGGAAAAATAGAGCAATTCGGGTTGAATTAGAACTGAAACGGGGCACGCACGGCGCCCATGCACGCGTGCGTGGCTTCCGTGCGTCTGACAGACTTGCGCGTAAAATCGTTGGACACACGCGTGCGTCCCTCCCCGCGCACGCATGCGTGTCTTCCAGTGAGGTTTCCGGCTTCTCTGGTCCGAGTTTGACAAAAACCCCTTCATCAACGTTGTAGATAATGAAGTCCTCTATCCACCACAATTTGCCGAATTGGATTTGAATCATCCAATCAAGAGATATGAATAAAATGGTGGAAGGTCTCATTCTGAAATCGCAACAGGGATCATCTGACTTCATCGTCCGTTTTCACCTTCTTCCTCTTAGATTCCGGAAATGGTATCTCCATATGATTTATATCCCTTGACGTTGGCTTTCATATGCAACTTGAATCGTATCCTGTGGATGCTTCTACGAAGAGATATGCTTGAACGATTGACAGAAGGTCATCCTAAACTTCGTTTTCAAGCTCTATTCGTCTTCATTTAATCTTGTAGCCAATCCTAGAGCTCTTTTGTCATCAAATATTCATTGTGAACCTCCTGGTGACCTCCAAATCTCTCAATTCACTCTAGAATGCTTCTCGAATCATCTCGTTTGCTCCTCAAGCGCCGGTGTCGGACTCTAAATTCCTGATTTTGACTCCAAACAACACAAAACTCAAACCAATGTCCGATAAATATAACTTGAGCTCGAATTGAGACTCGTGACACAAAATAATTAGGGAAAACATCAAAAGTCGATCTAAACATGCATCAAATGCGTGTCTAAATACAAACTTATCAGACTGTCTAGCCCTATCTGGACAAGGGCGTGGGCGACGAGCATCGCGGGACATGGACGAGCATCGGACACGCCTAATGTATTGGGCTGTTACTTGGCCCCTTCTTCCCTATGGGGTATTGGGCCGGCCTTGCATTGGGCCAATTACCCCAACAGATCAATTATGTATTTTATGTATGTATGTATGTATGTATGTATGTATGTATGTATGTATGTATGTATGTACGTACGTACGTACGTGCGTACGTTTTTTTTATAGAGCTACCTATATGCACACCAGTTCAGCTGCTTTGCGACACAGTCTCAAAGTCTTATTTGTCTACTAATCATATTCAGCATGCACGCAACAAAAATATCCGCATATATACGTTATCATTTGTCAGAGAGCGTGTCTCGCATGGAGATCTGGTTGTCCGCTATGTTTCTACGGAGTTAAAGCTTGCAGATGTTTTCACCATGTGCTTGTGTCCACAGGCGGTTTATTTTTCTTAAGGATAATCTGCACGTTGTTTCCCCTGCACAGATTAAAGGGATGTAATAATGTATTAACTATTATAAATAGGGTTTCCATATTTTATAGGTTTCCTGTTGAAGATTATTTTAATTGTGATTCAAGTCTTGTTTTAGTTAGCTTAA